AGCAAACTTTTTTTCTAACATATTTTTAGAAAAATTAAAAATTTTATCTTTTAGAAATGTCTAGCGATTTCGCTATCTATATTCGAGACAACTTTTCGACAGCAAAACATCTGTAGACCATAAAATCTTACATAGTGTAAACAAGAAAGGTGAATTTGTTCTAAAGTTCTGTTCTGGAATATGACAAGAACCATAAAACATTAGGCAGAGAAGTCTTTAAGTTTGTCAATGACAGACTTGTTGACAGAGATGACGCCTCTTGGAGAGATGAAGTCCAACAAAAGTTCTTAGAATGCAAAGAAGACACATGCGCTGTTCTTGAAGATGAAATAGAAAACAGAATAGAAGAGCTATTAAAGGACAAAGAACTTTTACATAAATATGGTTCTGAGAAATTTGACATAACTCCACCAGAAAAGAAGAAGAAGAGAGAGAAAAGAAAAGAAGTAGAAGAGAAGAAAGACCAGAGCCAGAGCCAGAGAAAAAAGAATTTGACATGTAAAAATAAAATTTTATTTTTAGAACATTTCTGGGTCAATGTCAATGTTCTCTTCCTCTTTAGGAGCAAACACTGGCTTAGACTCTAAAATCTTTTTACCCAATTTACCTGAACTTCAACTATCTTAGACTCATAATATTCATAGTCGTCTGCTTTCTTTGGTTCATAAGGTATAACAAGTTTGTATGCTTTGCCTTCTTAAGTTTGAAACCTTCTGTCAAAATTTTCTTTGACTGCTCAACACCTTCTCAATGTCTAAGTCTTCAAATTTCGCACCATTTTTAGTCACAATAGCAAACTTAACTGGTTCGATGTTCCAAACTTTGTCAAATGTAGACTTTTCAAAATGTAGAAGTAAACATTCAAATATGTGAATGGTCTAGTTCTTCTTTGACTTCTGTCATGTACTTTTACTGAAATATATTTTCGTCATCTTTTCTATCGGATAAAAAAATATTTTTTTAAATTTACTCAGAAAAATTTTTTCTTTGTATTACGCCGTTCTGTATGTCTAAAAGATTTTTGACATTTGCCAAGAATGTTCGTTTAGATGCTGTCATATAACCATTCTTGACAATTTGTTTATACGAGTCGTACAAAGACCTTCATCTAAACACTCAAAGTTAGTCTCATCTATAAACAGTTCATATACACTCTTGTTTGCTTCTAACAATGTTTGTCTTTCTTCGGTATGTGGAATTTGTCTTGGATTGAACTTAGAAATATCTAATGTCATGAAATATGAGAACAAGTGGTTGTAAAAGTTAGGTGTCAAAGTTTCTGCTAAGTCGTCAAAATATTCTGTATCTTGCATATAGCTTCTGACGTTCTGACAACTACATATCTTCTGTCAGAACTTTCTAACTTCATCGGAACGGCGTTGTTTGAAACCATGATGAAATTTGCAACATTTTCACAAACTCTTTGGTCTTTATATTTTCTTTCAACAACTCCAACTTTGTCTTTATAAGACTCTTCAAAGCATCTGAGTTTAAAACCTTTGTTGTATCTATACTTTGAAGTTCGTACATACTATAAGTTTCATATTCTCTATTGAGAGTTAAATTTACCGCAGATGTTTTCTAAGTTTGTCATATTAGGTTCGAATAGCCCTCTAACAGTTTGCACAAAATATCTGTAAAGAATAAGTTGTTCTTACCAGTTCCTTGTTTCCAATTATAATGAGAGCAGTTTCATTTTAGCACTTGGATGTTGTAAGATGTTTGCAAACCAACATAAGATATACTCATAAACCTTTTCGTTTCCATTGCATATAATTTCTTTGACATGGTCTAACCAAGCTTCTATAATATTTTCTTTCCATTCTACTTGTTCATATTTATATCCAGTGAAGATAGAATAGAAGTTTGGAGAAGGTGTATAGAACTTTATACCTCGAACTGAAAAATCTTCTAACTTTGACAATAAGATATCCCAAGCATCTAACATCTTCATACCAACTTGTACGACTTTTATTTTCTTAAGTTTCTGTCTACATTCTTGTTCTGAAACTATGGTTGCTCTTGGTTTGTTAAAGACAACATCCCATTCTTTCATGACATAACATTCTGGGGCAGAGTCGACATAAATGACTAAACGTTTCAAATTCTCGACTGCTTTGTTATAGTCTCTAAATGGACACATATTTCTGAACGCTTGGAAGTCATAAAAATCTGAAACGTCTATTCTGTACATTTTTATAAAAATAAAAAAAATATTTTTTTTATTCTTGACTTTGTTGTTGCATTTGTTCCATTTGTTGCATTTGTTGTTCTTGAGCTATTTGTTGTTGAAGTTGTTCTTGTAGTACAATACTTTCACCAGTTGCATCTTCCAATTCGAAACTTTCTGCCGTCATTGACAAATACATAGGACATAAAAGTTTTACAGGAACAAAGTTTGCGTCAACTAAGGTTAAGTTTATGTTTGCTAAAGTGTTTGAGTTTACTAAAGCTGAAAACTCTGCATTCGAATGAACAATAGGCAAACCAGCAGAGAAAGTGTTGTTTATACGCATGAGTATCTTTTGGTCATAGTAGTTTCTGTCGACATTCGAATAACACTTTGAACCTAAGTTTGAAACAATATATAAAATAGGTGTACTTAAAGTCAATGGAATAGACAAACCTTGTATGACACCTTTTCCTGTTATAGGAAATTGTTGGTAGTAAAAACCAGATATAAGTTTTGTATTATAGCTCATATCGTTTATACTAAACTCAGTCGGACATCCAAACATAATGAAACCTGCTCTAGTTGCAGCACATGTTACATCCGTCCTTAAAGTATTAAATAAGTCAACAAAACCTGTTGGTGGTATATCTGAGTAAGTATCTTCAAAGAAGTATTTTTTACCATTCACAACAACAAAGTCTTCTGGTGTCAAAAGAGCAAAACAGGCTTTAGTCGTCATTGTGTTTAAAGTTAGTTTACAATACCGTCCTTGAGGACTTTGTAAGTTTGTTGTTATAGAATTATATGACTCAGGGTTTTTAGTCGTAATAGTATAAACCACTATGTCTTCTGCCATTTACATATATTTAAAAGTTTTTCTGAAAGTGGAGAAGAACTTCATCTAAACTTTCACATGGCGTTTCTTGAAGTTCTCTGTCTAAGAAGTTCAAATATTTTGTAAAGACATAGAACTTTCCTTTGTCTACACGAACAAACAAAACAGGGTCTTTCATATCGTTCAAAAGCGTGTAAAGTCCTTTACATGAAATAAAGTCTATATTGTTTTTCTTCAAACATCTTTCAAGAAGTTTTGACATTTTTACTTAGCAAGTAAATTTTAATGAAATGTTGTGGTCGTCAAATATTTTTATGACGTCTGGGAAACTATATTTTAAGTTCAACGTTTCACCTCCTTTCATAACGTATATCTTGTCAATGACATTATATGAAACACCACAGCAAGCAATGTCGGGTTCTATTTCTTTGATGTTTATATCGTCTGCCTCTGTCAAAAGTTTCAATAGTTCTTTCAAAACTTCATGAGGTGCGATGACATATGAGTTCACTTTTACAGGGTTGTGCTCAACCAAGTTTAACATTATACCCAAAGCCTGACAAATCTTCTCCTGAGTTTTAAGTTTGTCTTTAAGTTGTTGGTAGTCGTTTCGAATATCTGCAACAGAACTTAAGTCTCTGCTAACTTCAGGATATGTTGGTTGTTCTTTTACAGGAACTATTGTTATACCATCTTCGTCTTCGTATGGTTTCCCCACTTCAACATCTCTTTCTTTGACATTGACAACAACACTTTGACTGTTTGTTTGAGTTGGTGAATTTAACTTCACATCTGCCACCGCCATTAAACCTTTTGAAACACTCACGCTTCTATTTTTCGGAAATGACATTTTACTTAGAATAAAAAGATGGACGTATTTGAGTATCTCTTCGAATTGAAGCAAAACAAAGTTTACACACACAAACAATACAAGTTCATTGACAGAGTAGTTCTTTACACAAACAATGGAAAATGTTATAGAATAGCAGTCTTTGCTGAACCAAAATATTTTCATAAAGCAAAGAAAGTTGGTATAACCGAGATGGTGAAAGTTCTTGAAGCAGACAAAAATATAACAACAAAACTGACCGATATTTCTAAAGGAAAGTTTATAATACAATATTATATCAAAACTGGCGTACTGTCAATATTTGACGGAGAGAAGTCAGTTCAAGAACAACTTACTGACCTGCTGCCAAAATCTGCTCGATGGAAGCTGTCGTTATACCAATCTGAGGAGCCCCAGCAGGTTTCATCGAACGAATCTTCAAAAGAGCATCTTCCGTGAAAAGTGCTATTGGTTTTGTAAACTTCTTTGCTCTCAGTTCATTTGGACCGTCTCTGTCACCAGTATATTGTATTTGAACTGTACCAACAGTTGAAATACCACCCATAAAGTCTTCTGAGTCAGCAAATGGAATGCCAAGCCAAAAGTTTGAACGGTCTCCATTTGTATATTGAGTGTTTTGAGCTCCTGTATGGGTCCATACTTTCACATATGGCATAATAGAACTTTGCATTTCAGGGTTAATGGTTGTTGTGAAGTTGTTGTTAAAGTTCATAGCATCTAATGTCAAGTTGTATGACCTCATATCCTCAACTGTAGAATATTCTTCTCTTGGATAATATTTGCCATCTATGTTTATGATATTTAATACCAGGGTTGTAGAAGCAAGAATAGTCATTTATAGTTCGTCTGAACAGTACAAACATAGTATCTGCATGTTTCATTGCAGTTGTTAAGGCAATATCTGTTCTTGCACCTGGGTCAGCACTTTGGTTTCCAACTTCACCTGCAAAGTCTTTGACAGATATTTGGTGTATAGGGAACATAAGTGGAACTGCAATATATTTGGCAGCTAAAGCATTTGAAATATCTGGGTCCAACATATAAACGGCAAGTCTGCTTTCTATTCTCTTGCATTCAAACTGTTCGCATGTGAACTTAACTGGGTCCCAAGCAGTTCCAGCAGCATTGAAATAATAGTTTACTTCAGTGTTGAAGTTTGAGAAACCAAAGTCTAAGTCAACTTTGTCTTTGCAAAAGTCGGCGAATGACGTTTGATTTGCTCCCTTTACGTCTGTAAGAGTGAATGGGTCTTGTGTTGGTGCAATGACTAAGTTATTTTTGCTTGGAGTAAGTTCGATAGAAATTTTTCCTGCCCAGTTTGGCAAGTATCTTAAAAACCTGAAGATGAGGAAAGATGACAAAGGAACTCTAAGTTTCAGTTTTACTTTGGTTACTGCTGCTGCAGTTTGTCCAGAAAGGTTAACATAAACTCCTGGAACGTTAGGGTCAAGTCTTCTTATTTTCTCAATGGTGGCATACTGGTCTGTTTGTTCTCTAGCTTGTGGTTGTACTGAGTTTCTCAAAGCGAACCATTCATAGTTTGCCCATGTTACTGTTTGAACTAAGTCAGAGTTAGAATATATCTTATATCCCATGAAAACTTCTGGAGCATATTGGTATCCGACATAGAAAATTCCATTGCAACCTTTCTTGTCAGACAACTTGGCAGAAGGCTTTATTTCAATGTCTTGTTCCACGTATAAGAATGAGTTGTCAATAGAAATAATATGAAACCTGTCGCAAGCAATATCTACTGTTGTTGAAGAACCTTCTCCAAACTCACCTACGTTTCCATAAGAAACAGCAGTTGTATATTCGTAAGTTCCAGGAACTATTTCTGACCTTCTAATGGCATTGTCGCATTCGTTATACCATTCGGAAACATTTCCGTTCATAGCATCCAAAACTGTTGGCGTTATATTCTGAGCGGCGTACATTTCATATGAGTAAAAATATAGAATAGTTGGATTTATATGTCATAATAGAACCCACGTGGACCAAGCTTTACTTTCTTCCTGACTGAGTTTTTAACTCTTCTTTTTCCTTCATTGCCCTCTGCTTGAAGTTGTTGCATCTTTGCATTATGTTCATCTAGTATGTTGCAAATTTCCCATGTCCTTTTTGCCTTTGGGCTCTGGTCGCCCATCTCAGGTAACCTATATCCTAGAAAGATTTTGTCATAGTTTGTATTTGAGTCTTCGCGTATTGTTTGCATGACTCTTTCCTGAGTTTCCGGTTCAAGCTCTTCAAACAGAGCTTGTCCATATGGAATAAGCTCGTTTCCAAATATATGTTTTTGTAGCCATTCTGGTTTTCTTTCCATGTTACCAATAATATCTTTTGTGAATGGGAAAGCTTTTACCCAACGTTTCAGGCTTGCGTCATTTATTTCTGTAGTTGGTTTTATTTTGTCAAGGAACATGTTTTTCAATACTAACATTTCATTTGGTACTGTCCATTTGAGTTTTCTTAAATATTCATCCCTTCTCGGTTCATTGTCTGCAAAGTAAGTTTTTATGACATTTTGTAAACTTTCGTTTGCAAGGTCATGTACAATAGGTTCTCTTCCTTCGCCTCCCTAACTTTCTTTCTAAACTCTTCACCAAATATACCATCTCTATGGTTCTGTGTAGTTCTTTGAGATAAATGTTTTAGAACGTCAGGTGTTATATTTCCATCAGCCATGTTCATTTCATACTGGTCCAAAATATCTGCATGTTTCATATCTTTCAATGGCATTAAAGCCGCGCTGAAAATACCAGCTATATCTGGTTCACCATTGACTTCCATTGCGTCTACAACTTCTTGGAATTGTGGTTGTAAGTTTATGAACCACCTATCTGGGTTAGCTTTATGACCCCATCTCATTGTAGTTCCATCGTCTGCAGAAACAAAAGTAGGTTTGTTTCCATCTTGGTTAGGTTCTGAATGAACTTTAAACAATGTTTCATTTCTATATGTTTTCTTGAAATTTAACCTTTTATCTTCACCGAGTTCATCCGAAGATTGAACGTTAAATGCTCGTAAGTAAAAAGGGTTGTTGTATTTGTGTACATTTTTTTTCAGTGCTTCCATTCTATGCTGAATATTTTCATCTGATGTTGGAGTCTTTTGTATGTCGGCAAACATTTTTCGATATTCTTCTACTATGTCAGCCGAATTTTTTTTAGACTCTTGGAAATATTCCATATTCTCCGCATACTCTTGTTGAGGGTCAAGATTTTTCGGCTGTTCCAAATCTTCATCTAGTTCTGTGAAGTTAGTTTCCAAAGGAAGGACTTGTTCGTTTCCTTCAGGCTCTTCTAGCTGTTGTTGCTGAACTATTTCTTCCATGTCTGGTTGTATCTGAACTTCTTCCTGTGGAGTTTCTTGTACCTCATCTGCTGGCATTTCATATATTCCGAGACCGTTTTTAAAAAGTTCCCTTTCTAAGTCATCCGGACTCATAAACCTTTCTTCTTTCGTTCCGTCTCTATTTTTTACGCGTTTCATGAAGAGAGTTAAATTGTCATTTAGCTCTGACATCAAATATCTCGGAGTAAATTCGTTCATGTCATTTGGATGATATGCTATTAAATCATATCCCTTAGCGAGCTTGTATTTTCCAGGTTTGAGATTATATCCCCTTTGGTGCAGAGCCATAAAGCTAAATAGGTTCGGGTCAGTATTTCCATCCTTGAACTTTCGAATAGCTTCTTTATATCTGTCACTAAAGTCAATAGTATCTGGGTAACCATAGTCTTCTTTAAGCATTTTTAAGAATTCTTGGTTTCCTTGTTCTCTACTTCTTTTATGTCCTTGCTCTGGTTGTGGAGGTGGTTGTTGTGCAGGGTTTTGAACTGTTGGTTGTTGTGCTGGTTGTGGTGCAGTGTTTTGAACTGTTGGTTGTTGTGTTGGTTTTGGTGCATGCCTGTGTCTGTGTCCATGTGACGATGTAAATGTGTTAGGTAGTCCTGGTGCAGGTGCTTCTCTTGGAGGGTTTGGTGGTATATAAGTTCCACCAGCTGGCACATATGTTCCATCTGCAGCGTAATGTCCTACCTGACTTTTCGTTCTTAAGAAAGCATTTACTAGGTCTGTTTTGGTCTGTTGTAACTCTTTTTCTTGACTTTCCACAACAGTTGCTCTAACGGCGTCATAGGCACTTTGAACTGCCTGTCTCGTTGCTGCATCTGTTATTTTCGTCATATTTTGTGCTACTTCTTTTAACTCTTTGTCGAAACCTTCAGACTTCAGTTTCTTTCCAGATGAGAAGTCGTTCACTTGTTTCACCTTACTATGAAGAGCTTCGAAGGCGTTCTTAAAGTCAGCATTTGTTAAAGCTTCATTTGAACTATCTTCATCCGCTTGTATTTTTGTCCTTATTGACCCTATGAGTTGGGCTGCTTTAGCGTTGGCTTGGGCATCTAACCAGTCATTGTTAGCTTTTATATATTCTGCGCTTTTCATTGCCTTTTGCATGGCTGCGTCGTTATTTTTACTTTCTTGTGCTAAGTTTTCATACTGTACGGTTTGGTTTTGCAACTGTAAAAGTTTTTCTGCCTTTACATTTGCTTCAACTTCTTTTTTATACTCATCGCTATCCATATATGTCTTCAGGGCTTTTTGTTTTATCTCTTCATCTTTCAGTACTTTATATCGAGTAGTATGGTTTTTCAAATTTACAACATCTTGTTCCATTTTTGCTACTTCTGTTGCTTTTTCTGACACTTTTTTCGCATATTCCTCCGTACTTAGTTCTTTCAGTTGTTCTTCTTTCTTCTTTTTCTCTACGTTTAACTCATTGAGTTTCTTTGTGTGTCTGTCATATTCTAGTTTCTTTTCGTTTTCACCTATTTGCTTCTGTATGTCTATGTTTGACTTTTTGACATCTGCTATTTGATTTTTGAGTGAACTCAAATTCATTTGACTTTGAGGGTTATATGCTGTTCCGTCTGCAGCTCCACCATAGCCTGCCATTTTCGCTAAAAGTGCCGCTCTTAAACCTCCACTCTGTGCACCAACAACTCGGTTTAAAAGCATAGGATTGCTTGACATTTGTTGCAACATAGTGGGGTCATTCAGCATTTGTTGTTGCAACTGTTGTTGTGGTGTTAGTCTTACTATTGGATGTTTCAATGCTCTCTTCCTCTTACGTATATTCTTACGTAGCTTACGTGGCATTTTAAGTGAAGTTAAAAAGCGGTTTTTGACAGATGTTTTATTGAGACTTCTTCGTAAAGACTTTGTTGAGATTTCTTCGTAAATGAGTGTAAATGACCCAAAAATATATTTTAGGGTAGAAGGTTAGATATAACCTCTTTTCTAACCTCTTTTCTACCCTCTTGAATTTTCATGAATTTCTTCGTAAAGACTTTGTTAAGACTTCTTCATCTAATTTCTCATGAACTTTCTTGTCTATGTTTTGTTGAGATTTCTTCGTAAAGACTTTGTTGAGATTTCTTCGTAAATGACCCTAGTAGTATATTTTTGGTGTAAATTTCATGAAAATTCAAGAGGTGAAAAATTAGGTGAAAAAACAGGTTATATCTCACCTCTTCACCTAAAATATATTTTTGGTGTAAATTTCATGAAAATTCAAGAGGGTAGAAAAGAGGTTAGAAAAGAGGTTATATCTAACCTTCTACCCTAAACATTATTTTTGGTGTAAATTTCATGAAAATTCAAGAGGGTAGAAAAGAGGTTAGAAAAGAGGTTATATCTAACCTTCTACCCTAAACATTATTTTTGGTGTAAATTTCATGAAGAAATCTCAACAAAGTCTTTACGAAGAAGTCTTGACAAAGTCTTTACGAAGAAGTCTTGACAAAACATTTACGAAGAAATCTTGACAAATTCAAGAGGGTAGAAAAGAGGTTAGAAAAGAGGTTATATCTAACCTTCTACCCTAAACATTATTTTTGTCTGATTTTACGAAGAAGTCTTGACAAAACATTTACGAAGAAGTCTTGAAAACAAAACATAATATATAATTTGTGAAAAGTGAAACATTATATAATGTTTTCGACCAAGAAGACTAACAATTTTCCGAATAAAAACTTCATTTATACTAAACATCTTCGGGGCTAGAAGGCACGAAGTGCCTGGAAGCCCCACTACCTTTTTTTTTTTTTTTTTTTTTTTTTTTTTTTTTTTTTTTTTTTTTTTTTTTTTTTTTTTTTTTTTTTTTTTTTTTTTTTTTATACCACCTAAGATGATGATGAAAAAAATTTTCGACTAAAAAAAAGTAGTCAGATTAAAAATTTTGCCATAAAAAAATCAAATTTTGATGTTGTCTGATAACACAGTATCACCAACTCATTACAATGAGTTGATGAGCACTTACAAAAATTATTGTGATGCATTTGACTCACTATACAAGCTCAAAACAAAAGACGAAAAAGAATTATCTAAAATTTATCAAAATATCAAAATTCATCTGATCGATTCATATAAATATCCTCCAAATCAGATTATTATTGATATGTCAAGCATGTCAATGTATAACAACCGCTATATGAAGTCATATTTATACATTGTCAAACAAATCTTTGAAGAATATCACCCAAAGGATATTAATGCGATTAATTCTGTTTTTGATTACCTTTTCTATAAAGAATATGGAATAGTACTTGTAGAAAGCAACAGAACAAAGTTCAAGGAATTTGAATCTAAAAATTATACATTGGATATTCATAAAGAAAATACGATTTACAGGGCTATTATGGATAATGACAAAGAATTATTAATCTCTATCATCGAAAAAAGCGAATTTGATAAAGATCAAAGACTAGACGATACATTTTATCCATATTCATTAAAAGGATATTCATATCTTGAATTATGCTGTTATTATGGATCTGTTGATTGTTTTAAGTTCATAATCACAAAATTTCACCCAGAAATAACAAAAAAATGTCTTCGTTTCTCATTTTTAGGTGGAAATCAGGAGATCTTAAGCGAGTGCTTGAAAAAACAAGAACCAGATAAAAAATGCATGAAAATTGCAATTATTACACACAACATTGATTTTGTTTCGTTTTTAAGGAATGAATATGATATTGAAATCGACTTAGCCGATTGCGGTTTGTATAATAATCTTCAGTCATTTTTAGTATATTTAGATCAAACTAATAATATTGATACATGCTTAATTTATTCATCTTATTTCTTTCTTCCATCCCTTATCAAATATTTTATTTCACATGGTGCTGATATCAATGCTAGAGACAAAAATAAGAGAACTCCACTTCATAACGCAGCATATAGCAACAGCAAAGAAACAGCAGAAGTTCTTATTTCACATGGTGCTGATATCAATGCTAGAGACAAAAATAAGGAAACTCCACTTCATAAAGCAGCTTATAGCAACAGCAAAGAAACAGCAGAAGTTCTTATTTCACATGGTGCTGATATCAATGCTAGAGACAAATATAAGAGAACTCCACTTCATAAAGCAGCTTATAGCAACAGCAAAGAAACAGCAGAAGTTCTTATTTCACATGGTGCTGATATCAATGCTAGAGATGAAGATGAGAAAACTCCACTTCATAACGCAGCTTATAGCATCAGCAAAGAAACAGCAGAAGTTCTTATTTCACATGGTGCTGATATCAATGCTAGAGATGAACATGAGAAAACTCCACTTCATTACGCAGCTTATAGCAACAGCAAAGAAACAGCAGAAGTTCTTATTTCACATGGTGCTGATATCAATGCTAGAGACAAATATAAGGAAACTCCACTTCATAAAGCAGCTTTTAGCAACAGCAAAGAAACAGCAGAAGTTCTTATTTCATATGGTGCTGATATCAATGCTAGAGATGAAGATGAGGAAACTCCACTTCATTACGCAGCTTATAGCAACAGCAAAGAAACAGCAGAAGTTCTTATTTCACATGGTGCTGATGTCAGTGATAATGATAGTGATGATGATAATGATCGTGACGATGATAATGACAGTTATGATGATAGTTATTAAGAACTTTCATTACACAGCTTTAACAGCTTAGAGTAAGGATGCTAAAAGTGGGGAACGATAAGCAAATTGAGAGTTTCCCGTCCCCTCCCGGTGAATCCCCACAGTGGGGAAAATAAAAATAAAAAACTAAAAATTAAATCACACGTTTTTAGTCTCAAGATAGCTTCATTTAATATATTTTCAATACAAATTCCTTTAAAAAATACTAAACAGCTATGATTATTTTCAAAAGCATAAACAAAATTTATAAATTCTTCATGTATTTTGCGCTCTAATCTAAAATTTAGCTTAATGTCATAGAATTTGGATTAGAGATCTTTTACCTATAAAAATTCGATAATGAGTGATTTTTTATAAAAGTCAAAATACAAGTATGAATATGCAATAAAATTTCATAGTTGTATGAACGATGAGAAAGTTATAAGCCAAAAGACTGATAAAAATGTAAAATTAAATTTTATAAGTCTAGTATAGCTCGAAGAATACTTTATCGAAAGTACTCGAGCGCTAAACAAAATCGGCGCTAAGATTAAGGAAAGGATTCCCAAGTTTTGGCGAAATAAAATAGAGATAATGAAAGAAACTTGTTGGACGCTAAATTTATAATGAGACGTCTTTGTTAGTGTCTGCTATGTCAAGATATCCAATTGGATCTGATGATATATAGCAGGTATACATTTTGATTTCATATCACATGGCTGTACCCGCACTTTTAGCAAGTTTATAAATTTGATTCTTATTTGATCTCAAAAATCCATGAAACAGATGATATCATGATAAATGATGAACTTAATTTTTAAAATTTTCATTTTAGATCTATAATTTCATATTAATTTCGAAGGGTATTTGAGAATGAAATCAAATTGATTTTTACCAACACTTAATTTAACTCTTCTATGTTTAACAGGAGATTAACACAAAAGATGAAGCATTTTTTCAAACCAAAATTGATGGACCTTATATATGAATTATTTATTTAGTTCAGAATAGTTCTAGGATATCCAGAATCCTTGTTTTTCATGCGATACAGTGAAATATCTAAAAAGTGCATAATTATATGATTAAATATAGAATTCAAGAAATTTCATCAGGCATTCATGTTTCTGATATGAATAGTAACTTTCTTTGGACGATTTAATTGTTTTATCTATGATAAATTGTTATGAGTTAGCGTAAAATTACTCGAAAAGAAGCATAAAATCTTAGTGCACGTTTAAAAATATGAAAAATGATTTAGTCAACTCATGGCTTGAAGAAGATTATAGAGAGAACGAAAACCTAATAAATATGAAGGCTATATCCATTAGTATTCCTGAATCTCCTCATATCAATAAAATTCTTATTCCAGAGTTTGAAATTGGTGGAAAAACAAAAACAGGCAAAAGATTGAATACTATATCTACTCCTACAATTCCACAAGATCAAATAAATCTACTCATAAATCTTAAATCAGAAAATGAACAACTTTTAATGCAAATCAAAGAAATATCCAAGAAAATTGACAAAATAATTCCTAAAAATAACGAACTAAAAGATGCAATATATAATACAAAGAAAAATCTGAAAGCTATTCTTAGCGCAACAGATGAAAAAGAAAAGTTACACTTAATTAAGATGGAGAATGAGAGGAAACTTGAAGCCCAAGCCCAAAAAGAAAAGAATAGAAGTAAAAACGCTCAAACTGCAATCTTTGAGAAAATGATTAAGCTCAAAGCCGAATCAGAGCGACTTACACAGCAAGAAATTGCTCTAGAAGAAGAGGCTAAAAAGTTTAAGAAAGCAAAAACAGAAGAACGCGCAATACTTAAGCGAAAAATTCAACTTGCCAAACAATTAAATGATGTCTTAACTCAAAAGAGATCTGAGATCGAGAAATCAATGATAACTCCCCACTAATAGAATGCTCTTTTGTTATCAATTATATTTGTGATTAAATATTTGTATGTATTAATCTATAGAATTGTCATGCAAGCATATATCATTTTTCATGAGTTCCATCTATGTTTGGCGATATTAGTTTTACAAAAATTGAACATATCGTGGTGATTTAGAGGCTAGAAAGGAAGTAAATGTTCAAAGAATAAGCAATTAGATATAGCAATTAAAATCTAAATAAGAAAAAGAATAAAACATTGAGAAAAAAAGATATATTTCAGAAATTCCAAATTATAACTTATATAAACAATATTATCAATAAAAAGAGTTATTCTTAAACGCAAAAGTCAGAAAAGCATACCCTAATCAAGTGAAAGGGCGATTTCGTAAAATAATGGCCGTATAACGTGAAATTTAGAATTTTAAAATAAGTAAATAAATATAAAAAACCTTTAAGGAATCAGTTTATGCAAGTGGTTACTAAAATTAAATTTAGGCCTTCTCGAAGAGCTGAAGTTCCTTCTCTGTGTTGCCTGGCTTGCACCAGATCTTGACCTTGTAGTCGCCATCGTTTGTCTTGACAACACCCTCGAAGATGTAGCCAGAGACAACCTTCTGTGTAGCGGAAAGAAGTTGGATGTATTCAAGTGTTGTTCCGTTCTTCTGGTTGCCAAGAGCGATGGCATCCTTGAAAGCCTGGATAACATGTTCATCCTGAACGTTAGCTGGCTTAGCAGCACCACAGCAGCATCCTCCGCCGCAAGACATTGCAATAAAGTGTCAAAAAAATTTCAATGACCAACTGAAAAAGTTTATATTTGTTTTAACGTCATTTTTGGTTAAATAACATCTTTATCATCTAACCTTTTGTTTTGCATTTATTTTAATCTGATTGGCAGTTGATGACATCATCTCACTTCTTTCACTTATTTTACTGTGAAATAAACAAACATCTCATAAAAGCTCTTGAATGCAACTTATGATTCTTTTATATCAGTATTATGATGCACCCAATGAAAGTTCACATTATTATGAGTCCATTTGAGATTATATTGAATTTCATCAATATTATATTCATAATTTTGAACAAGCTTAGAATATTCATTTTGTATTAAGACACAATATATATTCAAGAAATTTTAGAGCTTAATTTCATATATTTTAATTTAGAAATTTGAGATATGAGATCATTTCACATATATTCGAATACAAAGATTATTATGTAAAATATAAGATAGCCATTTAGAATAAGCGAATTTATTTAGAGAACACTTTTAGAGAATATTCGAAATAAAATTTGGAAGTTAAGCATTTATTAAGAATTCATTTTGTCATGAATACACTGCAATAAGGTGTGAGATCAATGTGATACTTGGCAAGATTGGAACTGAAGTCTGGTTCGTAAATGCCAATTTTATCGTAATTTGTTCGGAAACGGATATACAATGAATTTCGATTCTCAATGTGTTATAGTAAACAAACTATGTGATTATTTTTTGTAAAGTAACGACTTTTCAAAAAAAAATCGAATCAGTCCATGAATCTGAATTTCGAATATATTGCTGCTCATATCAGTGATTATATTCAAAACGAAAACTTTTTTGATACATTCGATATCAGTGACATCAAAGCAATCATGAAATATTCATGTTTGACAGCAGATCAGTACATTAGTCTTCTTTAACAGTCTTCATCAAGTCTCACCTCCAAAGAAATATATATCAGTACACGAAAGGCGAATGTTACTATCCAAAATTATGAAGACGTCTTTTCAATTCTTAAGATCGTCAAAAAGTACATGAAATTCAATATATTTGATGGAATAATTGATTTTATCAACGAAAACAACAAACAATCGCTTGATTCTACAGAAGAAATCAAAAGACTTCAAACAGAAATAAAAGCATTACAAAACCAAATACAAAATGCTTCTAAAGAAACTACAACAACTCGAATTAATGAATCACATAACTTTTCTAAAGAATTTTTAGACAAAATCTCATCACTTAAGGAAACAAAAGATTTTGCGAGTGTTTACAAATTCTTTGAAGAGCTTTCATCTGAAGGCAATCGCGAAATGATTTCAAAGGCTTGTGAAGAAGGACTTTGGAAGAAGACAACAGACTACGAAAATAATGTACTTCATGTTGCAAGTATGGAAGAAAATCTTAATCTTGTCAAATTACTTATTGAATGTGGCTGTGATAAAGAAGCAAAGGATGTGTTTGGATATACTCCACTCATTTGGGCATCATCTTTTGGTCATCTTGAAGTTGTTAAATATCTTATCTCTATTGGAGCTGATAAAGAAGCAAAGGATGTGTTTGGATATACTCCACTCATTTGGGCATCATCTTTTGGTCATCTTGAAGTTGTTAAATATCTTATCTCTATTGGAGCTGACAAAGATGCAAAGTCTAATGATGGAAAAACTGCACTCTCCTATGCTAAATCTAATGTAAGAGATTTTCTAATATCTATTGGAGCCAAGTAATATAATATAATCCAATCGTATAATTATAATAAAATTAACAATATTCTTATTTCCAAACTATTCTTCATATGAATATTGTTTTTCTTTATTTATTCATATAGAATAGGATAATATCTTTAAGTGATATGTTCACATGTTACTAATCTCATTCTCTCTAACACAAAGTGTTTTTGATTAAATTATTGAAGTTATCAATGAGAAACTCATTTATCGACATATTATGGAATTATATAATTCTCAATCGATCTTTTGAATGGATGATTGTGATCTGCGTGAAAGGAATGTTCAAGAGATATTTAAATGAGATGATTGAGGGTTATTTAGTAAATTTACATGAAATTGTTATGGAAATTCACATTGCTCTTTCATTATATTCTGTGAATTATGAAGTTTGAATGAAATTAAAGTGTCTATGATTCAACAAGATAGAAAGTTTGAATAGTGAAGTGGGTGAACATATTGATTAAAGGATTAAAAAATTTGGAAATTTCTATAATGTCTTTTTAAGTTTGAGAAGAATATATGTTCTTTTGAGACATTTGGGGAGATATTGTCAATATATTCCTCCCAGAATCCAATTGCGGAACTTCGACCGACCTAGTGCAACAGTGCACTGTTTTCTGTCGGCAAAAGTCATTCCGGGATACACTGCCACTGCATGTCTCCCAGAATGATAGTTCTGATTGCGGAACTTTTCGCAGCATTATTTCTATTACGTTTTCCCCTACATATTAAAACTTCTTTTGTAATAAACAGAAATTAATCAAAAGTGACAGCTCTCAATTTTTTGACATTTGTAAATTCTAAATTGAATGAGAAAAATGAAATAATACTAAGCATAATACAATATTCTAGATTTAATTATAATTAGGAAAAAGTTAGTTTTGAGAGTACTTTTCATAGGCATATAGAATGAAATCTTCTGAAAAATAATATCACATAAACTCATATTATTTTCTAATATATAACTATTTTATATAAAAATCAAATTCAATGATCTTAAAAGCGAAGGATAAACCTCAAAATTTACGAATATAATGAGTGGGAATATAATGCTTATCTATCATAAAACCATATGAAATATCAATTTTTGCTTTACGCCTAATTTTTGACGACAATTAGCAAAAAATGTTAAATGTTAACACTCAGTCCATTTGAATATGAAAAATAAAATTGACTTTGATTAAATGTTTTTATTTATCATGCAATTCTTCTTGCGACCAAAGATTTGAATAAAAGTTCAAAAAATAAGATAGCTTAAAAAATAATATACGGTAGTGTTTACTAATAGATGAATAGTATATAAATTCTATTAAAATGGATTTGATCCAAAAAAATATATAAAATTTGATCATAAATAAAATCGTTTTAAATTACTTCTTCATTTAAATTTAAAATTATTTTTGGTTTTATATTTTTTTGGATCAAATCCATTTTAATAGAATTTATATACTATTCATCTATTAGTAAACACTACCGTATATTATTTTTTAAGCTATCTTATTTTTTGAAATTTTATTCAAATCTTTGGTCGCAAGAAGAATTGCATGATAAATAAAAACATTTAATCAAAGTCAATTTTATTTTTCATATTCAAATGGACTGAGTGTTAACATTTAACATTTTTTGCTAATTGTCGTCAAAAATTAGGCGTAAAGCAAAAATTGATATTTCATATGGTTTTATGATAGATAAGCATTATATTCCCACTCATTATATTCGTAAATTTTGAGGTTTATCCTTCGCTTTTAAGATCATTGAATTTGATTTTTATATAAAATAGTTATATATTAGAAAATAATATGAGTTTATGTGATATTATTTTTCAGAAGATTTTGTGTTCTTCTTCAAAATTTTATTTTTTTTATTAAAAAGAATCTTTACAAAATATACATTTACTTTAATTAATATTTAAAAACGTGTTCTATCAAAAGTTCCAAAAATTCAATATTTTAGCTTTTCTGAAGTGTCACTTTTGATGAATTTCTGTTTACAACACTTTCAACTGTAAAATATTTACACTCTCTTTATCTTTTTACTCATTTAATTTACTGATCCCTATTAAAATCTCTTTCCTACACTTATCCTGGCTGCACACACAAATTAATCGGTCTCAACAACTCATAAATACTCACTTCATATTTTGATATCATGATATATTATCAAAAAATCATATATTTATGCACTGCAACTCATAAAGTCTCATTTCATCCCTATCTAAGCGTTCAAAACCAATTTTCCGAGTAATCTCATTCTTCAGGCTCCGCTGATTCGATTTCTGCAGTCAGATCGTGAAAATATGCATCACATAATAATATAGACGCAAAATTTATTGAATGATTTTTTCATCAATTGTCGGATTTTTAGAGTATTGATAAAAAGATTGTTTTCTCTTTGGAGAAATTGATATCTTTATTTAAAATGATCAATACATATAAATGATCATATTAAAAATGGTTGATAATTGACTCAAAAAAACAATAAAAAATATTTTATTTTGAAACAATGAAAGGAGAAGATTGCCAAAGCTCAATACCATCTATTGAAGTTATAGATATCTTTGGGAACGATCTTGTACCGATATCTTTTGCTTTAAACTTAATTTTCATTTCAGATTTTTCTTGATTGTAATTTATTGACTGTTTCTTTGATTCTTCTGCAATAACGAAGAAATCATTGTCTTGTACAGTCAAATATGACTCTATATTCAAGCCAGCAACAGGAGAATGAGTGATTGAAAGAGTTAATTCTGAATCTTCATCTTTTTTACACTCGGGAATGGACAAATAACATTCTACTTCACTTGGAGCAAACTGAACTTCAGGAAGAACAGTAGAAAATATAAGTTTTTCGTCAGAATTCGAATCAACAGTGAAAGTCAACGAAAGAACACCAGGAGAACCGTTCTTAGCATTTCCATTGCATGTTATAAACAATGCATATGAAACTGCTTCGCTTTGATTGAGATTTATTGGTAATTCAATCGGCATCTGGGAAATTACGAATCCTTCTGCAGGAGTAACATCGATATTGCGTATAACAGAATGTTCTACTAATGAATATTCAAAAATAGTAAGAAAAGTGTATTGTGTTCCTCGATAAATTTGAGGAATTGTTTTTTCTTTGAAAGCCATGAAAGAAGGACCAAATACCTTGTTAGATACTGTAAATGGCTCCGTGAAATGTATGGATTTGGTCTCAGAAAATGTAATTTCCTCTGAATATTTCGTAATCCAGTCTAATTTTACTTCAACGTCGCATTTTGAAGGAGCAACAATGGAAACATCGAATAAAACATCTTCTTCTGGTTTCGTTTTGCTGAAATCCATTGTGTTTTGACCATTTTCGAACGTTGCATTTCCAGAAATCGAAGCGTGAAGCGAAACTGATTCAGTTTCAGAGGGGAATCCAGTACATTTAGCCTTGATCTTGTAAGGGAACCTGCAAATTGGGAACGAATTCGATTCTGCTGAGAAATGAATGTCATCTTTGAAAGAAAGAACGGAAATATCTGATGCTCTCGAGTTGCTCTTTGTAAATAATGTAACAACGGAGTTAAGTAAGCAAATTTGGGCTGTTTTCAATGAAATTTTGCCGGGATTTTGTGGAGGAATTTCTATAGATGTTCTGTAGAGAGTATTTGGTTTAAGTTCTTTATCTGTGAATACAACAGCTTCAATGTTCTTGCCTTTGTCGTTCTGAAGAGTCAAATAAATTTTGTCAGAATGAACTGGTTTCAAAAGTTTGCTTCTAAACGTGATATTTATTTGTATTGGCTTTGATGGTAATACTGTATCAGAAACAAAGTTAGCAATGAACTCAAATGGAGAAAAAGGAGAATCATCAAGAAAAACACGTAAATCTGTACATTTTGTAAGATAGTCTAGCGTAATATCAATAGTTTCTTTAGGAAGATATATCTGATAGTTTGGTGATAAGCAATTTAGCATTAAATGAAACCATTTTTCGTTGTTTCCGTCTAATCTATTCAATATCGCAAGAATTCGTGTTAGTTGTGCTGAAAGTGGATGAAAATTCTTTGATTTATACTTGTCAAGTTCGGCAGAAAAAATAGAAATCGCTTCTCCAATTGAAGAAACGTTTAATTCCTTTAAAATGGGTTCTGCCGAAGTGTAACTGTTATTTGTAAGCTCTTTATGTATTCTTGTGAAAAAATCACCAAGATATTGAACGGAGAAAGATGTTATCATAAAATTTTCAAAAGTGACAAAAAATATAAATTATAATGCAAAAATGGAGATGGGGGGAATAGAACCCCCGGCCTCAACTATGCTAAAGTCGCACTCTACCACTGAGCCACACCCCCTTCGAAATTAATCTGAAATTATAGATCTAAAATGAAAATTATAAAAATTAAGTTCATCATTTATCTCATGATATCATCTGTTTCATTGATTTTTGAGATCAAATTTATAAATTAGATAAAAGTAGGGAATTTTACAAATCCAAGGGGAAAAAATTTATTGCGGGTACAGCCATGTGATATGAAATCAAAATGTATACCTGCTATATATCATCAGATCCAATTGGATATCTTGACATAGCAGACACTAACAAAGACGTCTCATTATAAATTTAGCGTCCAACAAGTTTCTTTCATTATCTCTATTTTATTTCGCCAAAACTTGGGAATCCTTTCCTTAATCTTAGCGCCGATTTTGTTTAGCGCTCGAGTACTTTCGATAAAGTATTCTTCGAGCTATACTACCCAGATTTTCCTTACTTTTACCACCCCTCTAAAGCTGGGGACACCGCCTATCGTTGGGAGTAGCTATTAAATAGAACCACCAAGGGTATTTTTCGAACTGCCGGTGTAGTGGAAACATCCGACATAATGATTCATTATGCCAAGGTTTGATTCCCATTTAGCCATTTTTTTTCTTTTTTGGATCATGAATTTTTTTTTGGGTCACTATAAGATTTGTTTCATGTTCTAAATCTGCTGCATATGTAATCTATTTTTATTTACCTATTTTTTAAAAATCTATTGGATTGCCAAATTTGAATATATTTAAAATCATAAAACTCCAAAAAAACTATAAATATATGTTTTATGCATAGTGCCGATACTCAAATATCAGATTACTTAGATTCATGAATAATATCCGAATTTTTTTTCTTAAAATTAAACTTCAAAACTTCTTGCAATCTTATTCTTCATCTGTTGTAAATTTTTAACACCATTTTTTAAAATAATTTTGCGTAAATTTTATTCTCATGTTGTTTTAATCGAAAATTGATACATTTTCAAAAAAATAATATTGACTTATGAAATTCATTTTTAAGGTGAAATAGTATTGTTTTTATTAAAGTATATGAATAATATATAAAAAATTAATGAATAATATAAGCAGATTTTTAGTTTACAAAACAAATATGAGCAATGCAATTTCAAACTTTTGCTGGCAATTTCGATATTGCTCAAGTTTGTAGTATTTGTGATACCTATAACATCGGCTTAATCAAAATTCGATTTTTCTTATGAGTTATTGAGAAAATTTGATTGCAATGAGAAGGATTTCGACGTTTTTGATAAACTAAGAGCTGAGCTTTAGGGGTTCAGTTCATTTATGGCTGTAGTTTGATGCGTAGATCTCTTTTTTATTGTAAATTCTTTCAGCATGGAGATCGAGAATGAATCTTTTGAGAACTTTATGAGTTTTTACACCCGTAAAGAGGTCCTTCGAGGAAAGATAGTCCAGACTACATGAAGATGTGGGTTAACCAAAAAAATCCGATGGTTTCCCCATATTCATGTCGATCTTCGAAAAAATGAGCACCAAAAAAGCCAAAAAAATAGGCTTTTTATTGGATTTGTACACTAGATCAATAACCTATTTAGGATCTGACACTCTTTTTAGCCAGAGATATGAGGTCCTTTCTAGGAAAACGATCTATTCATCCATAAAAAAAAAGAATTATCGTTTTCCCCAGAAATTACATGGGGAGTGGTAAAAGTAAGGAAAATCTGGGTAGACTTATAAAATTTAATTTTACATTTTTATCAGTCTTTTGGCTTATAACTTTCTCATCGTTCATACAACTATGAAATTTTATTGCATATTCATACTTGTATTTTGACTTTTATAAAAAATCACTCATTATCGAATTTTTATAGGTAAAAGATCTCTAATCCAAATTCTATGACATTAAGCTAAATTTTAGATTAGAGCGCAAAATACATGAAGAATTTATAAATTTTGTTTATGCTTTTGAAAATAATCATAGCTGTTTAGTATTTTTTAAAGGAATTTGTATTGAAAATATATTAAATGAAGCTATCTTGAGACTAAAAACGTGTGATTTAATTTTTAGTTTTTTATTTTTATTTTCCCCACTGTGGGGATTCACCGGGAGGGGACGGGAAACTCTCAATTTGCTTATCGTTCCCCACTTTTAGCATCCTTACTCTAAGCTGTTAAAGCTGTGTAATGAAAGTTCTTAATAACTATCATCATAACTGTCATTATCATCGTCACGATCATTATCATCATCACTATCATTATCACTGACATCAGCACCATGTGAAATAAGAACTTCTGCTGTTTCTTTGCTGTTGCTATAAGCTGCGTAATGAAGTGGAGTTTCCTCATCTTCATCTCTAGCATTGATATCAGCACCATATGAAATAAGAACTTCTGCTGTTTCTTTGCTGTTGCTAAAAGCTGCTTTATGAAGTGGAGTTTCCTTATATTTGTCTCTAGCATTGATATCAGCACCATGTGAAATAAGAACTTCTGCTGTTTCTTTGCTGTTGCTATAAGCTGCGTAATGAAGTGGAGTTTTCTCATGTTCATCTCTAGCATTGATATCAGCACCATGTGAAATAAGAACTTCTGCTGTTTCTTTGCTGATGCTAAAAGCTGCGTTATGAAGTGGAGTTTTCTCATCTTCATCTCTAGCATTGATATCAGCACCATGTGAAATAAGAACTTCTGCTGTTTCTTTGCTGTTGCTAAAAGCTGCTTTATGAAGTGGAGTTCTCTTATATTTGTCTCTAGCATTGATATCAGCACCATGTGAAATAAGAACTTCTGCTGTTTCTTTGCTGTTGCTATAAGCTGCTTTATGAAGTGGAGTTTCCTCCTCTTCATCTCTAGCATTGATATCAGCACCATGGGAAATAAAATATTTGATAAGGGATGGAAGAAAGAAATAAGATGAATAAATTAAGCATGTATCAATATTATTAGTTTGATCTAAATATACTAAAAATGACTGAAGATTATTATACAAACCGCAATCGGCTAAGTCGATTTCAATATTATATTCATTCCTTAAAAACGAAACAAAATCAATGTTGTGTGTAATAATTGCAATTTTCATGCATTTTTTATCTGGTTCTTGTTTTTTCAAGCACTCGCTTAAGATCTCCTGATTTCCACCTAAAAATGAGAAACGAAGACATTTTTTTGTTATTTCTGGGTGAAATTTTGTGATTATGAACTTAAAACAATCAACAGATCCATAATAACAGCATAATTCAAGATATGAATATCCTTTTAATGAATATGGATAAAATGTATCGTCTAGTCTTTGATCTTTATCAAATTCGCTTTTTTCGATGATAGAGATTAATAATTCTTTGTCATTATCCATAATAGCCCTGTAAATCGTATTTTCTTTATGAATATCCAATGTATAATTTTTAGATTCAAATTCCTTGAACTTTGTTCTGTTGCTTTCTACAAGTACTATTCCATATTCTTTATAGAAAAGGTAATCAAAAACAGAATTAATCGCATTAATATCCTTTGGGTGATATTCTTCAAAGATTTGTTTGACAATGTATAAATATGACTTCATATAGCGGTTGTTATACATTGACATATTTGACATATCAGTAATAATCTGATTTGGAGGATATTTATATGAATCGATCAGATGAATTTTGATATTTTGATAAATTTTAGATAATTCTTTTTCGTCTTTTGTTTTGAGCTTGTATAGTGAGTCAAATGCATCACAATAATTTTTATAAGTGCTCATCAACTCATTGTAATGAGTTGGTGATACTGTGTTATCAGACAACATCAAAATTTGATTTTTTTTTATGGCAAAATTTTTAATCCGACTACTTTTTTTTAGTCGAAAATTTTTTTCATCATCATCTTTTGAGGTATGCAATTACCATCAGGTATAGATCAGTAATACAAAAAATGTTGTAAACAGAAATTCATCAAAAGTGACAGCTCTCAATTTTTTGACATTTGTAAATTCTAAATTGAATGAGAAAAATGAAATAATACTAAGCATAATACAATATTCTAGATTTAATTATAATTAGGAAAAAGTTAGTTTTGAGAGTACTTTTCATAGGCATATAGAATGAAATCTTCTGAAAAATAATATCACATAAACTCATATTATTTTCTAATATATAACTATTTTATATAAAAATCAAATTCAATGATCTTAAAAGCGAAGGATAAACCTCAAAATTTACGAATATAATGAGTGGGAATATAATGCTTATCTATCATAAAACCATATGAAATATCAATTTTTGCTTTACGCCTAATTTTTGACGACAATTAGCAAAAAATGTTAAATGTTAACACTCAGTCCATTTGAATATGAAAAATAAAATTGACTTTGATTAAATGTTTTTATTTATCATGCAATTCTTCTTGCGACCAAAGATTTGAATAAAAGTTCAAAAAATAAGATAGCTTAAAAAATAATATACGATAGTGTTTACTAATAGATGAATAGTATATAAATTCTATTAAAATAGATTTGATCCAAAAAAATATATAAAATTTGATCATAAATAAAATCGTTTTAAATTACTTCTTCATTTAAATTATAACAATTATTTTTGGTTTTATATTTTTTTGGATCAAATCCATTTTAATAGAATTTATATACTATTCATCTATTAGTAAACACTACCGTATATTATTTTTTAAGCTATCTTATTTTTTGAACTTTTATTCAAATCTTTGGTCGCAAGAAGAATTGCATGATAAATAAAAACATTTAATCAAAGTCAATTTTATTTTTCATATTCAAATGGACTGAGTGTTAACATTTAACATTTTTTGCTAATTGTCGTCAAAAATTAGGCGTAAAGCAAAAATTGATATTTCATATGGTTTTATGATAGATAAGCATTATATTCCCACTCATTATATTCGTAAATTTTGAGGTTTATCCTTCGCTTTTAAGATCATTGAATTTGATTTTTATATAAAATAGTTATATATTAGAAAATAATATGAGTTTATGTGATATTATTTTTCAGAAGATTTTGTGTTCTTCTTCAAAATTTTATTTTTTTTATTAAAAAGAATCTTTACAAAATAGACATTTACTTTAATTAATATTTAAAAACGTGCTCTATCAAAAGTTCCAAAAATTCAATATTTTAGCTTTTCTGAGGTGTCACTTTTGATGAATTTCTGTTTACAACATCATCAGATATGTTTCCTTTCCAAAACATATGAAAAAATAAGAACTGAATGTTTCATATATCTCGTATTACAGCTGGCAAATGCCATGTAAAACTCTCAAATATTTTTAGGGTAAATGCACCGGCAACCCCTACGAAATAATTGAGAATAAATTACATGGCATTTGCCAGCAAATTGCCATGTAAAACTCTCAAAAGTTAAGCCCCTTACGGCTGGGTGAAAAATCACACACGTTACTTTTAATTTCCATATAGTCAAACATTCAAGAATCAAGGGTAGAGATACTAACCTCACTGGTGTCTCTATTATCCAGTTTTGGCTTCTAAAACACTATGAGGAATTCACAGAACTTCAACAAAAATGAAAGAAGAAATTTGACAATAAAAAAAATGTTGAACTTTTTAATATTTCAGAGACTTTACGTCAAGAGAACCGGCTCTTCTACAGACCGTTGTCTTCATAACAAGCCATGCGATTATCAGTACATTCTCAAAAATGCAAAATCAGGAGATTTCATAACAATTCTAGATCCAGCCGTTCATAAACCGAAAGAGCATATATTATTTCACCAATTAATCGCAAACTGTTCTAAAATTGGCGTAAATGTTGATGGAAATGGCGTTACAATCGATGGAATTCAAACAAATTACTCTTCAACAGCATATATTGATCTTCAAAATATCCAAAACATGTCATTAAGCAATATACACTTTATAGAATTCACTAATCCTATATTTTCTTTTACAAATTCAAAAATTTCTCTCGAAAATATTTCAATTTCAGGATCAAATATACATAAAAACGCAATCCCCATCAATGCAAAGAATTCCGAGATCAATTTTACACAGTTATCACTTGATAAATGTACTTCTCACGAAAAAATGTTTTTCAAGTTCACAAACTCTATCATTAACTTTGAGAAACTTAATATGATGTATCAATTTGTATTCCATGAATTCAAAATGCCGATTGTTTTATCCAGAAACTCTAAAATTACTTTTGACCTTTCTAATTTCGAAAACAACAATTCTCCAAGCGCTCCATTCATCAGACTTGAAGATAAAAGCATTGTCAACATTACTAACTCCAATTTCAAGACAAATTCCCATTCTGATTTGATTCATTCTTATCACGACAACAAAGCTACAATTATCAATACTGTTATTGATGATTACCAAGGCAGTTTGTATTCGTCAACCTCCAATGACCAGTTTTCCATTTCTTCGTGTTTAATCCGAAATTCCGCTTCAACAAAATATCCGATGATTTATACGATCAGATCTCAAGGAATTATCGAGTACACAAAATTTGAGAACTGCGCTGGCCAATCAATTATCGGAAGTTTTTCGAAATCAAAAGTTACGATAAATAACTCGATATTTGACTCAAACAAGCCATTGCAGTCCGTAGTAACAGCCGATATTAACTCTGAAGCAATTGTAGAGAACTCTTCCTTTGATAATACTAAAGCTTTCAGATCAATATTATCTTCACTTCACAACAGCAAGATATCGATTGGAAACTCAATGATAACCAACAGTTGGACAAAGGCAGTTGATATCAATATGTCTAAAGGCTATATTTCAAACACAACTTTTGAATTTAATTCTGGATATTCCCAGAAGATTGCTAGCAACCATTTTGGATCATTATATATCTATGATTCTAATTTCCAAGGTAAGATACTCAATGGAATGATTGATAGCTTCGGAAAAACGATTCTTGAAAATAATAATTTTTCTTCAACTCATCAAGATGCTCTGCCAAGTAATTTGTACTTCTTCTGTAAGGGTTGTAAGTTCCAGGAATCAATAATCAACACAAATGTTGATAAACGATCGATTTTAGTTACTTTGGTCGCATGTATCGTTGCAGGTGCTATTATATCCACAAGAAAAGGTAATATCCACTATATTATTGGATCTTTATTTGAACAAAATAAAGATTACGATTAAATGTTAAAAATGTTGTAATAAATAATATAATTTCTCATAGTTTTAAGTATTTTTTAATTAATTATGTATTATTTTCTTAATTTAATGACAGAAGCATAAAACTTGAAATCATATTTGAGAGAGAGAGACGCAAAGAATTTGATTTCTAGTTTATTTGAAAAATCTGGTTTACTCAAGAGTTTTCTCTTTTCTGAATCACTAGCAAAAACAATGATTTAAATCAAGTTTAATTTAAGGGTGAAATTACGCCCATATGACGTTAATGCATATTTCTAACGTCGGGTGTAAGTGCAGCCTTAACAATATGCCTTTAATTCTGTAGAGTATCTGTCTCCTTAAAACCGGGAGCTTATTCAGATATTGTAGCAAAAAAAACAATGACAAAGAAATCGCCGAATTTCTTCTTTCACATGATGCAAATATTGATGAAAGAGATTATCATTAGCAAACTCCTCTTAATATTACAATAGACTTCTTATTTTACATGTAACAAATTAATTATATACCTTCTATTATTCCAAGTGATCAAGTATTCAAGAAAGAAATAGATAGCTATAAAGGCGAATTGCCTCCTCTGATTGCATATGATACCGAAGTAACAAGGGTATTTCCGAAAAATAAGACGGATCTTCATTACTCAGGTATAACAAAGCAATTTGATTTTGAATCCGATGCAACGGAGTTTATGACTTACAAAATAAATGGAAAGATTAAGAATATTACCGACTATTATTTGGCTAATGTTGTTTTAGGATTCTCAGCATACAACAATAAATTTGACAAAATTGGTGTTTTAACATGCATTGATACTCGTCAATTCCTCAAAAAATCAAGTTTGAACTATACAAATAATTTTTCACACATAAGAGTTAGGATTCCAAGCATTCCTGTTAACAATACTGTTGGAGAATTAATGAAACTGATGAGGAATGATTTTAATGAAAGAGTTAAACGCGGCGAAATGTTTTCCGCCTTGAAAGCAATGAAAGAAAACTATTTCAAGCAATCTGATACTGAGAAAAAAGATATAGGCTGCGTTTGTGATCTTTCATTAATAGGAACATTTGATCTGGGGAATAAATTCAAGGATGCTTGGGTTGACTATCACATCAATGCTGAAGAAATCAAAAATAGTGTCGGATTCCTTTCTTTTTCTGTAATCAAAAATGGTGTAAATACAATTTATGGCAAATTCAGAACAGCTACAACATATTTTTCTGAAAAAGACGCTAAAATTGTTGGAAGTTTAATCATTCATGGAATGAAAACAATTCATCCTCAAATGAAAATATCTGACGCATTGAGCATGCTCAAAGATTATCAAAACTATTTATCAAATTCTTTATATTTAAGGCTCTAGATTTTCTTTTTTTTACAGAGATATATTTATGTTTATTCAGTGTAATTGTACTAATTGTATATATATGAATCTATACATGTGTATATTGCTATAGGAAATTACATATAAATCTTTTTAAGTGACAAGACTGAAGCACTTAATCAATTTAACCAATTGAGAGTTTTGCGCATTAATGAATTGGGTTTTATGAATTCCAATTAAAACCATTCACTTTATCGTTTATATGACATCATTGTTTTTGCGAGAATTTTGATTAAATAACATCCTATTGTGATTCTTTTGTTCTACATGTTTTATTCTTAAGATATAATAATATTTCATTATATTTGCATAGGATATATGAGTATATATATCAATTCTCATATTTATATAGTCATTTTTTGATTTTATGATTAAATTTCAGCAATTTCATGTATACATATATGAAATGATCAAAACTACTCTATGAATATAAACAACAAAGCTATGTCTTAAATCTGTGATCCCAAAAGAAGTGCAACAAAAAAAATTGAGAATTCAAACTCTAGAGCTATCTCAATTGAGAATTACTAAATTGCTCGGCATTAAAATAAAGATTCTTCATAGTCCTCCGATAGGCGTTGAAATATCATTAATTCTCAGTGTTTATTTGCCCAAGATTATCCAAATTTGCTTAATTCTTTTCCTGTATCAAATCAATTTGCATCAAATAATATTATGAAATAGCAGAGCCTAAATATGAAAAGCACCAAATTGATATTACAGCTCCCTTTGTAAAAACTTTTTTTTGGAAAACAATTTTTTCGCACCCATTTCAATGGAAGATATCTTTTTATTTCAACTAACAAATGGGTGCGAAAAGATTGTGTGCAACAATCCAAACTGTGCAAACTGTCCGAAATTTGTACTTTCGAATTCTTCGTATATTCAGAAGAAACAAATTGCATTAAAAATGGCGCAGAATGAAGAATCAAAGAAAAGTTTATGCCATCATATCAATATACTACTTTGTAATGAAGAAGCTCGACAAATTTTACAAGATTTTGAAAAATTCGCAAATAATTTTACAATTTCAACTTCTCCTGCTGAAATATTGCAAAACATCAATCCAGTGTTTACAAACTTCATGTACTTTTGTCAATTATTTACTCCAAAAGATAAATTCATCACAAAAACAAATTTACTTATTAATGACCAAAAATTTTTCAATTTTTCAACAATACTATCATCCATACCAAGTTTGAATACTCAAATTTACAATTTAATAAGTTCTATCGCAATAGATATCATGAATTGGAAAAACAGTATCACAATATCGATAATCAGAGGCTTGCTTATACTATTCTACTTCCCATCAATCTTTTCTCCCAAATCTTCTGAATCTTTGTTATTATCAATTTTTATTTTCATTAAAACTAAGTTGGAGCATCAAGATCGTAAGTTGTTTATATCAGAATTATCGAAATGTCCAAATTTAATCAATCAAATCATCGGAATTGTTCATTGCGCGATTTCGGATTTTTATGCTAACAGAGAGAAGCCAGATCCATATTCTCAACAGGTTATTTACATGCTAGAAGTTATGAATTTAGCATTCCTGGCCAATGAACGTTCAAATTCCCCACTTCCAACTTCAATTTTTTATAATCACCATATTAATGACAGTTTTACACAAGAAAATCGATTCAGTGGCCACTCCGATCCATTAATCGAGAAATTTTCTTTTGTTTTGAATTTAAATACCAAAATCCAAATTTGTACATTACAAACGGATACAATACGTGCAGCAGTGTTCTACAGTGATATCATTAATAACATGAATGTCCGGTCAAATATTTTTTTGGATCTTTTAATTCGAAGAAATCACATTGTAGAAGACACTTTGAGCTGTTTGTCAACAGTCCCATACACTGATTGGCTCAAGAAGCTCAGGGTTGTGTTCGAAGGAGAAGAAGCCGTTGATTTGGGAGGTCCATCTCGAGAATTTATCCATTTGATTTGCCAAACTTTGTTTTCCTCTGATTACGGGATGTTTGAGTTATATGGGAATCATTATTTGTGGTTTACTCCCTTGGCTTCTTCAATTGAAGATGATCATTTATTTACTCTTTACGGATTAATAATCGGATTAGCTATTTATAATGAGATATTACTTCCTGTCCATTTCCCCAGGGCGTTGTTCAAAAGTATTTTGAATTTTTCCAATTTCACTTTAAATGATTTGGAACAAATAGAGCCAGACGTTGCCAAATCACTTAGAGAGATACTGTTAATGCCAGAGAATGGAGAAAACGTTGCAGATCTTTGTTTAACCTTTTCATCTGTTGTTGATATTTTCGGACATCAAGAAACAGTTGATTTCATCAAGAATGGATCAACTATTGATGTTACCAATGAGAATGTTGAGCAGTATGTTGAGCAATACATTAAATACAAGTTTATAAAATCAATTCAATTTCCAATGAACTATTTGAGGAAAGGATTTAGTCTTGTCTGCAAAGCTGGCATGTATCAGAAGCTTACTCCTGACGAATTAGACCTTTGTATGAGTGGAGAAGAGAAAATTGACTGGGATTTCATCAAAAGAAATACAGAATACTCAGGTTACCATAAATACGACATAACAATTATTAGATTCTGGGAAATTTATGATAAAATGGTCGAAGAAGACAAAAGAAAACTTTTGAAATTTATCACAGGGACAGATCGAGTTCCTCCTTCAGGAATGATGTTCAAGATGAAATTACTGATTAAGAAATGTGATGATATTGATCGTTTACCATCAGCTCTCACTTGCATTTCGCAATTATTACTTCCACCTTATCCTTCAAAGGAAATAATGGAAAGCAAGCTGTATTACGCTATCCAGTACTTTGAAGGATTTGGATTTAAATAGATTTAATATTATTGATTTTTTTTTTGTTTGTTTGTTTGAAATTTCATAAAATTTTATCATGTTTATTTTAATTACAATTTAATAATTGTTACTTCTACAAGCTGCATAAGTATGATGAAATAACTTCAATGTTATCAAACAATCTCTATTGGTGTTTAATTAATAGGAAAATGAATTAAATTTAATTTGTTCTTTGAAGCTCTAAGTGAATATCTTATTTATTACAGCTTAATATAAATAAGATATTGATGTAATTAATTGATGGATTAAGTAAAAAATAACAAACATGTTAACTAAACCCATCCAATGAATCGGAGACAAGAATTGTCCCATTCTGGATCATTGATTCGTCTACAGTCCCTAGGACAGGCTTTCTCAAATATCATCATGATCTAGAGTTATAGGAGATGAATTGTGTCATATCAAGAAAAAAAATATACATTTCTTACCTCTTATGAGGTCAGAAATTTGCTTTTCATATAGACTAAGAAATACAATTTGGTGTCAGGACCTTGAGAAAAGACCACATTCAAGTTTATCTGGTGAATTTTACGTCATATTGTATGTATATGCTGTGAATTTCGACCAGTGTAGCAAATTCTTGCAATTGTGGCCGTTGTGGGCGCACCTGTTCCTCAGAGTTCGAAAAATATTTGGTTGAATTCTCAAATGTTTCATATATGTAGATAAAAAGAGCGAGATATAAAAAGTGATAACTTATGTAGAAATTTTATTTTTTGGCACTATTTGAAATAAGAAATTCGGCGGTTTCATCACTATTACTTTCTCCTGCTTAATGAAGAGCGGTTTGTCCATCATTATTTTTTTCATTGACGTTTGCACCATATGAAAGAAGAAGTTTAGCAGTTTCTTTACTATTATTCTCTGCTGCATAATGAAGAGCGGTTTGCCCATCATTATCTTTTTCATTGATATTTGCACCATGTGAAATAAGAAGCTCAGCTATTTCTTTACCATCAAAATGTGATGCATAATGAAGAGCGGTTTTTCATCATTATCTTTTTCATTGACGTTTGCACCATATGAAAGAAGAAGTTTAGCAGTTTCTTTACTATTATTCTCTGCTGCATAATGAAGAGCGGTTTGCCCATCATTATCTTTTTCATTGATATTTGCACCATGTGAAATAAGAAGCTCAGCTATTTCTTTACCATCAAAATGTGATGCATAATGAAGAGCGGTTTTTCATCATTATCTTTTTCATTGACGTTTGCACCATATGAAAGAAGAAGTTCAGCTATTTCTTTACCATCAAAATGGGGTGTATAATGAAGAGCGGTTTGTCCATCATTATCTTTTTCATTGACGTTTGCACCATATGAAAGAAGAACTTCAGCAGTTTCTTTACTATTATTCTCTGCTGCATAATGAAGAGCGGTTTGCCCATCATTATCTTTTTCATTGATATTTGCACCATGTGAAATAAGAAGTTCAGCTATTTCTTTACCACCAAAATGTGGTGCAAGGTGAAGAACGGTTTTTCCATTTTTATCTTTTTCATTGATATTTGCACCATGTGAAATAAGAAGTTCAGCTGTTTCTTTATTATTCTTTTCTGCTGCACAATGAAGAGCGGTTTTTCCATATTCATCTTTTTCATTGATATTTGCACCAAGTGAAATAAGAAGTTCAGCAGTTTCTTTATTATTATTCTCTGCTGCATAATGAAGAGAGATTCTCTCTTGGTAATCTTTTTCATTGATATTTGCACCGTGTGAAATAAGAAGTTCTGCTATTTCTTTATTATTATTATGTAACGCAATATGTAGAGCTGTTTGTCCGTGTTTATCTTTTTCATTGATATCTGCACCATGTGAAATAAGAACTTCACCAGTATCTTTACTGCTGTTCAATGCTGCATAATGAAGAGCGGTTGATCCATCATATTTTTCATTAATATTTGCACCATGAGAGAGAAAATATTCGCAAAGAGATGGGATGTCAAACTTTGCTGAATATACAAAGCATTTGTTAATATCATTAGTTTGATCAAAATAAACTAAAAATGATTCAACATTGTTAAATGCTTTACAATAATCTAATTCAATTATTAAATTGTATTCATTCATTAAAAATGTAACAAAATCAATGTTGTGTGAAATAATTACATTTCTCATGCATACATGATTTGGTTTTTGATATTTCAAACATTCACTCATGATATCTTTGTTTCCGCCTAAAAATGAAAATTGAAGACATACTCCTGTTATTTCGGAGTTAAAATTCGTTCTTAAGAACTTGAAACAATCAACAGCTCCATGATAACAACATAATTCAAGTAATGAATATCCATAACAACAATATGGATATAAACTGCTTTGAAGTCTTTGATTTTTATCAAATCCTTCTCTTTCTGTGAAGCAGATGAATCTTTCTAGGTCATTATACATAATTGCGCTGTAAATTGTGTCTTCTGTATGAATATCGAGATTTTCTGATTCAATGTTTCCAAAATGACCAGATTTGTCTAATTTAATTCCATATTCTTTATAAAACAGGAAACTTGATACTATTGGGATATCGCTGACTTCTGTTATATGATAATCATCACAAACGAATTTGGCAAGTGTCAAATATGACTTTGTATAGCGATTGTTAAACTGAATGATCATTAAAATATCTTTTATAATGCTTTTAGGATGACGGTTCTTTGAGTCAATCAATTCTGTTTTGATTTGTTTGTAAATTGACTTTAAATCTTCATTATTTTCAGTTTTCAGCTGGTATAACGCATTATATATATCTATGTGGTATTGACAGATGCTTCGTAGCTCATTGTATCTATTTGGATTAACGTCTTGTTCAGACATTAAAAAATTTAAAAGTCATATATCAACATTTTACCATCTAAAATATCTTTAAAATTCATTAGGAGAAAAATAATATGTCATACATTTGGAAAACAATGACTGCAAAGATAGTAGTATATATAATGGGTTGTGTGACTTTTTTTGTAAACGTAAGAATTCATACAATATTGAACGATTTTGTATCATTTTTTTTAACATATGAAGTAAAAAATGTATGATTCTTACGGTTTTTATGTCTTACGTTTTTGAATAAATCAAGATTTAAAAAATGTTCAAAATTGTAAGACATTTACACTCAACCCATACATGATTACATAAACACATTAAAAATAATTAACATTAATTTTAAAAATAATTTATTTCATCTTTTATAAAAGAAACTATATATAGATGATGTCAGATATTCCATGATTAATTAAACATTGTTTAAATCTTGAATGGAATCAATGAAGTCATAATCAAAGACCTCATAAATGAGAAAAATAAATTAAAAATTAATGATTATTTGAATTTATGAAATCAATTATTTGATTCATTCTTTCTTCAATCTCTTCTATTCTTTTTGTTAAATCATCAATTTTCATTAATGAGGTGATTCTTGATTGCGGAATAGATTTCAAACTAACCACTCCTTTTATTTTTGAAATTTTGAATCCATCAATTTTAAACATTTTATTCAATTTACATGTTGTCAATTCTTCAAATAATTTTTTATTATTAGCATAATAGTCATTAAATTCTTCAACAGATGAAAAAATTTTTATTTCAGTAATTGGTTTAACAACGTTTATTTTTTGTTGAACATTTCCACTTATTTCTTCCTCCTCTGTTTCATTTATTTTTAAAATCGGTTTCATTTATCATTAAATAAAAAATTAGAATATAAGTGATGAAATATATTTTTTAATTAATATTAAATCAGAAATGGCGGCAGGATTCTTTAAAAAATTATGGGATGGAATTAAGAAAGCTGCAGGTTGGGTTTATAAAAAGGTTATTAAACCTGTTGCAAACTTTTTGGCACCAGTAGCGAAAACGGCAGGAACTATCATAGGTGGAGTATTAGGTACTAAAGCAGGTAATCCGGCGATGGGAGCACAAGCAGGTAACGCAGTTGGTGGAATTGCTGAAGGAATACTTAATAAAATAGGGGGTAAATAGTGGAAAAATAAATAAATATTATTTTTATCTTAGTATTGGTTGTAGTCTTTGATAAACTTTTTCTCCTTTATTTAAAATTTCTCTTATTGGGGCAGCTTTTGGTGTTATTGATTCAGCTACGTCACTAATTGCTTCTTTATTCTTAAATATCCAATTTGCTCCCTTCTTCATTGTTTCCCAAACTTTACTCGCTCCTCTTTTTACTCTATCCCACAGTTTCTTAAATATACCTGCAGCCATAGTTGATTATTTCATTAAAATTAAAAATTCATTTTCATCTTTTAATTTTGATTTTTTATTTATTAATAAATGACGACTAACTATTTAGTGCCAAACACTAAACCAATTAATGGAAATGTGTTTCATTCATTCGAAAAGATAAATGAAATATTCGAAAAGAATGACGGTAGAAGATATTATAGAGAACTTGAAAGTTCATGTTATGACTCTGATACTCCATATTTTGATGATAAACAAACTCATTTAAGAATTACAAATCCAGCTCATGATGTGAACCAATTAGGTGACACATATATTAAACGCAAAGTTAAAGTAACTCTAGTTTCAAATAAAGCTTTCACATGTGATGCCGCTTTTAAATGCATGCGTTTATTCGTTGGTTACAAATCATCAAATCAAAACTTTAAACAATTAGAAGTAGAAACTGAAAGAGGTGATGCCGGTTATCTTCAAATGGATTGCGCCCGTGAATCTTTCGCATTTGCAACATATAAACCAAAATCAGAAAGGAAAGTTAAAAAGTTTGTTCATTCGTTATATAATAATGTTCAAAAATATGATAACTCAGTATGTGGTAAATATATTGACCCTTCAGAAGTTTTCAAGAACGCAAATAAAGAAGTTGATATCACTTTTGATATGATTATTCCGGTAAATGATTTGTTAGCATTTCAGGCGTTCGATGATTATCCTAAATCATTTGGTGATATCATTCTTAAATATTATGTTTTCAGGGATACTTTAGTATTTTGTCAGGTTGACCCGTTAAGAGTTGCTGATTTACAAAATTACGTTTATGAAAAGATAACTGATGAAAATTATGAAAAGATTATGAATCATGTTTATAAATATGATCGCAAATTCCAACAAATCGGACTTCCTGCCAAATTAATTACAAGCTTAGCTGCTACATCTGCTGACGCAACAGTTGATGACGTTATTATTTCATGCATAAAGATGGAAGTTTTAGAGGATAAATGTATTACACCAGGATACGGTTTAATTGAAGAATCAGTTAAAGCAATACCACGTTTATTCAGTAAGGAAGATCCATTCATGATTCCAGCTCAACATATTGACGTTCGTTCACTAAATGGAGGATGCATCACTCCAGAAGGTATTAGCTCGGATTTCTCATACGCCCTTCATAATGTTACAGATGTTGTGTTAACATTTCCGAAGAATGCAATGCAAAGAACGGTTTTAGAAAATCCAATGCTTCGAGGTCTTCAGGTCACTATAGATTCCAGAAACTTCCCCGATCAAGCGATGACCACAGTGGGTGACATATTCTTTACACGTATGCTTCAAGCTTCTGATTTAGATGGAGTGAATGAATGCACGGAAGAATACGAGGACTCATTAACTAGACCATTGAATGCAGATGATGGCACGCCATCAGCTAGAACATGGAAAGACCAAACTTCATTCTTATGCACTATTCCAGTTCAACGTAATGGAGCGGGTATATTCTTTGATGGATTAGAAACTTTCAACTCACAAGTTACAGTACAAGTGAAAGCTTATCCAATCATTCAGGGTGAAAATGACACTTACTGTTCAAAGGTGACAATCCTCCTCAGGTTTGGTTTACTAGGACTACGTATTGGACATGGACACCGGATGAAGGTTTGAAATATCATTCAACAGGTACACCACCGCAGTATAGAAGTTCATATGATGAAATATTGATGAATAGAAATGTTTAAAATTATAAATTTATTTTTGATTAAATGAATTTAAATTCATCCACCCCTTATGAAGAATTAACGGGAGTATATAATACATACGTAGATGATATGATTAATGAAGCATTGAGTGATAATAGAAATGCTCTATCTAAGGAAAAATTAATGAAAATTCCATATTCTGAATGTTACTTAAATTCAATCACTGCAGCAATTGGTAAACAAAATAAAGGTAAAACATTAACGATATTAAAACAAATTATTATTGCTAACACTTCCCCCCATTCACATGTGTTAATTTATATCAACCGTTCAGGTTCACCTTCAGATGATACATTTGAATCTTTAAAGCATTTAATCAAAATTCCAATTATTTATTTATCACAAGAAGAAGCAGAAGATTATTTAAAAAACTTTTTAATGTATAAAGAATTATATAATACAATCAAGAAGCAAGGATTAGAGGATAAAATTATTGATAAACAACGGGATGAATTATTTGAAACACTTTCCATTTCAAATTTTGATAAAGAATTTTTGCATTCACTCATTTTTCTAGATGATGCAGTGAAATCAAAACTAATAACAAATGAGAAATCATATTTTAATCAGTTATTAACTCAATGTCGACACATTCAGTGTTCATTCTTTATGGCTGTTCAATATTTCAAAGCATTAAGCACAAACATTAAATCAAACTATCCACCCTTTTCATTTTCAGTGGGTTTAGTCGTCAACAGTTGAACGTTATGCTTTATCAAGTGAATTTACCAATGAGCATTAATGAACTTTACACACAATATCAGCAATTAGGTGAACATGGAAAAATAATAGTTGATTTAAATAAAGGATGTGTTAAATTTGATTAACTTTTTATAATTAATTTTTATTTTTTATTTATAATTAAACATGACAGAAATAGCAAATCTTTTACAAGTTCCATTAAAACAAGGGACAAACAAAAGGGGTGCATATAATAGAACTATGAAAGTTCCTGATGGAATGAAAGAATTAGTTCATATTGTTGCTGGTCTTCAAAAAGATGTTAAACAAATGAGAAATGTTTTAACATTACCAGAAGCTCAAGCATATGCCAAACGTCATGGTCCAAATTGGGAAGCACACGAAGCAGACATTACGGGTCCAAATGGAAAACCTGATGGTATAAATGAAGTTTTCGTTACTGATGGTCAAGGTAATATTAAAGTCATAAATGGTTATAAATTAACTGTATCTGATTATCCTAAACGTAAAGCATATAATGAACATTATCCTATGCAATTTGATGAAAATGGAAAAGCTGTTAAACAATACATTGGAGAAGGTGAAAATGGTCCAATTAATTCATACCGTCATAATCCATATTCTTATTTCAATGAAGAATTAAATGCTATTGAAGAGGGACCGGATGGATTACCACGATATTCTAACCAGTTTGATGGTCAATATGCAAATATTAGACCTGAAATTTCAGCTAAGAAATTCTTTAAAGTTGCTTTATTCGATCCAGTTTTCGCAAATGTTAAAGATGAACTTAAACAGCAATTCCAACCAATTATAGTAGCAAGAATTGCATCAGGTGCTTTATCTCAAGCATTCAAAGATTTAATTAAGAAACCATTATATCAGCAACGAGGTTTAACTTATGATTTAGTTAAGGAATCAGATAAAAGAAAATTTGAGAAATCAGTTGATTATAAGAATGCAATTAATGAATATATTCGGTCTATTAATTTCGATGAAACAGCTAAAAATCAACTTCATGAACAAATACAGGGAATAATAGATTCAAAAGTTCCAGCAAAATAAAAGTTTAAATATATTTTTTATTCGAATATAAATGAGAAGACGTTTCACTAGTCAAAAGAACACTAACGCAAAAGCAGAGATTACGGTTGGTTATAACGTAAATGATGATAAATCACGAATTATTCAAAATGTTAAAGTTAATGTTAGCCCTGAATTAACAAGGTCAGCAACTCAACCAAATTTATTAACTCGTGACTTACCGAAGAATGAGGAGAATGAAGAAAACCATGAGAATGGAGACTCAATCATTTTATCTGAACCTGGTAAAGAACCCGTTGAAATTCCCACTTATCCAACATACCCACACCTCTTTCATCAAACATCGAGAACCCATATAAAATAGACATTAATTTTGAATTAATGAAAATTTACCGTGATATAATAATTAATAATTATGATTCAATAATAAATTTAATTGACCAATCCGGTTTAATTATTTTACCTTATGAATCATTAATTCACATTATCGCCATTCTTTGTGATGTTCAAGATTCAGACGTTAAGATTCAATTTTTCATAGATGATGAGGTTTCATGCTGCGGAACAGTTGCAAAAATAAATCCTATAAAGGATATTAGCACAATTAAGATAACAAAGAATGGAACAACAACTGAACTTCATTTAACATATAATGATATTTATAATAAAATAGTTGATGAATATAAAATATCACTTGAAAAATTCTTTGTTAAGGCTATTTAATATTCAAGCATTAACATTATCGAATAATAATCCTTTGAATCATAATCAATAATAATTGACCTTTCACCAGTTTCTATCGTTTGTTTTATTTCTTTTTGTTTCCCACTATCTGGATCAGTCATTGTAATTGTTTTTGTTATAGTATCAGCTTTATCTTTAACTTCAATCTTTTTTCCATCAGGATATTTAAACCAAAATTCCAAAAATTCGATATTGTCAATCTGTTCATATTTTAATCTATCAATTACATTTTTAATACCATCTGAAAATCTTATGAAATGGTCATTATATGGGTTTGATTGAACTAAATTTGAATGAAGTGAAATATAACCTGTTGATGAATATGACACTGACTCATATTTTCTGAAAACACTAAAATTTATAACATGAATGAATTTCTTATTCGTTGAATTTATGAATTCTTGAGGTAATCTTATTCTAGTTTTATTTATCACTGGAAAATAACGCTTTACCATATTTTTAATCGTAATAAAAATGTCAATTATCAATATTATTTCGAATAATAGTTGTGAATTAAATTTAACAGCTAGTGGAATTTATAATGTTACTCTCGTTTCTGTGAGTGGTAAATTTAATCCCATTCTTTTAGACCCTTCAGATTATATATCATTTATTAAAGATGACCATGAAAAAACGTATGATATGTATATAAATAAGTGATAGCGAAATGGGATATTAACACGATTTTAAGTTATTTAAATGAATCATTTATCGTATGGTATGAAGAAAATTTTAAATCAAAACCTGATAAACTTTTTGAACTTGATGAAATAAATAACCTTATTAAATTCCCGCTGAAAATTAAATTTTGTACTCCTCATCTTCGTTCATTGTTGGGGATATTAAATTTTGAAAAAGATGTTGGGGATGTTTTGTATTCTGACACTGGTTCCAATTTCATTTTAATCAAATGTGATAAAGTTAATACCCCAATGAGATTTTCACATCAAACATTAGACCCTAACTCTTACCCATCAATACAAAACATTTTATCCATCAACTTAAACACATTTTCTTTATCATATCCGTTTCAATTATCCGGGAATTCATTTATTATTCATTCAAAAGATTTATCAAATATTAAATTTAGAGTAACTGACCTATTTGATTGTGATTTAGAATTTATGAATGAAATATTATGGCAATTTCAAATAGAGAAAATAGCTGATGAGATAATGGATTAAATATTTATTTTTAAATCGTAATAAATGAATAAACAACAGCAACCACAACAACTTAAGGCGCAAAGCACCCAGGTCCTTCAGACCATTACATACGCCATATATGCATATAATTCAAAGACGGCAGAACAAACGCAAAGGTTGAAATATGGAGATTTGGAGATAGTATTGAAAAATGACCATTTCGAATTCGTTTGCAAAGGTGGTGCAGTGATATCAAATATAAAAGAAATTTTATTTATGAATTCTAAAATTAAAGGTATAACGGATGATATAACATCAATTCCACCAGAAGAACAAAGATATTACGCATTAAATGCATTTCCCAAAGTTTTGAAGATTGGAAGATTTAATTTAAATGAGGAATTCATAAAAGGTTTCCTAAATGACATAATGAAGAAAGCGAATAAGGAATATGTGGCTAGTGAGTTAATGAAGAAGGCAATAAGGTATGTGATGAAAAAGATAATGAAATTAAAGAAAGGGTTGAATGGTATCATGAATGGACATCGAAGATTTTTAAAACTAAAGCTGATACAGGATGGGTTTCAGGATGTTTAGACCTTAAAGCGGATAAAACTTATGTTAATGATGAGTTAGAGAAGAAAGCGGATAAGGAATATGTGGCTAGTGAGTTAATGAAGAAGGCAGATAAGGAATATGTGGATGAAAAAGATAATGAAATTAAAGAAAGGGTTGAATGGTATCATGAATGGACATCGAAGATTTTTAAAACTAAAGCTGATACAGGATGGGTTTCAGGATGTTTAGACCTTAAAGCGGATAAAACTTATGTTAATGATGAGTTAGAGAAGAAAGTGGATAAGGAATATGTTAACGAAATATACCAAAGTTTGATAGGAACAATAAAAAATATTGAAACTATTGTTGGTGACTTTTCTGTCAATGAAGAAAATAAATATTTTAGATGGCAGTTTGTACAGTCCTTAAAAAATGGTACACGGTGTAAACTCATTCCGAAAAATAACAATGAAATGTATGTAAGTTATAAAAAGAATGATGGCACACAAGTTAAAGTTCCATTAGACAACAACTGTTACTTAAACTTATATGGAGACGAACAAAAGAAATATTTAAGAGTTTATGAAATGGCAGATATGACATTGCCTGACCCAGCTCCAGCACCATATTATTATGACTATGGAGATGATGTCAGAACACCACATGTAGATGAACAAAAGTTAACATTATATTTAGATTATTATAGATATAAAAGATATAATGCAATAGAAAAAACGAGAATAGTATATTATTATACAGATGACAGAAATAAATATTATAGTCAAGACTTTACCTACCCTGAAAACATAAGATTATATTATAAAAAACATTCTGACACAAACCAGAAGAAACCTGAAATAGTTGCACTATATTTTAAGTTCAAAAGAGACAATCCTATAATATCTCATATGTTTGATTTAATGAACCCAGTAGGTTCTATTTATACATCTATGGATGCAAGAGGTCCTCAAGTAATGTTTGGTGTTGGTGCATGGGAACAAATAGTCGACAGGTTTTTGTATTGTGCAAACTCTTCAAAGGAAACAGGTAGAAGTAAAACGATTACAGGTGAAAATTTACCTGCACACAGTCACTACATAGATTTAAGTACATCTCAAGCGGGTTGGCATAAGCATAGATATTGGGATTGGTCAGGAATGCCAAAAGGTAAAGGATATGATGTTAAAGATGATGTTAAGTTTGCTATAAATTGTTACTGGAGTGACACTCAGGGAGAGGGAAACCATACACATTTCGTTTCAGGATATACACAAACAACGGGACAAAGTAAAGAATACATGCCACCATTTATGACAGTTTACGCATGGTATAGAGTTCAATGAACGCTCAATGTTTGTGAAACAAACTTTAGAACGGACTGAAAGTCCTGAGCTCCAAAAGAGCGAACGGTATAATTGAAATTTTTATTTTAGTATAAATGAAGATTCTACCATATGGTGTTATTGGAAGAGATAAAGATGGAAACCCAATATTTGATCCAAAGTTAAAATTCAAGTTACTGACAAGACAACAACTTGAAAAGTTGCTGAAACCAAAACAGGATGAGAAAATGAGAAAGAAAAAAATTTAAATTATGTAATTTTATTTTTATCATAAATGACAAAATTAATTAAGCCAACTATTTCTAAATTAATGTTACCAATGAAATCATTTCGTGGAGTACTTATCCCAGGTTCTTCACAATTAGCCGGGGCAAGTGTTGTGACTCAAGGTGGAACATTAGCGAATCCATTCAAATTATTAACTAAAGATGAAGTTAATAAAATGATGATAAAATAACTGATAACAAAATTTTATTTCACTGCTACCATGTTACCATGTGCTACCAGGTAAATTAACTTCTCTGAAAAAATGAGACAACATGACATTTTGACAACAGTTCAGGAGGAAGGTATTTATGAAGTTTATATTTCCAATACTTTTTCGTTAATTCAAAACTTGATTTTATCTCTTCCTCAGGATATTTTTCATTAGGATTAAAGTCTTTATATGCTAAAGCGTAACGAATCATTGAAGCATTCGATGATAAAGAAAGATTATGAAGCATATCAATTTTATAAACAAATGTTTCTTCAATAATTTTATCAATTGGGTCAATCATAATTTCAACATCTTTATTGCAATAATGAATAAAATATTCTAATCTATTCTTAAAAATTTTAGCATCATTGAGATATATTTGATAATCACTATCTGATATAGTTTCTTGGGTTAATGCTGAATAAAATGAATCTTTCGTGAATGGTTCCACTTTATATAATTCATCTTCGTAATTCTCCGATGTGATAAATTGATAAGGGAAAAAGGATTTAACACGTGATTTATTGTTTCCGAAATCTTGAGTGAATTGATCTAATGTCCCACCCGCTATATAATTTCTGATGTCAATAAATCTCAATTCATATGGAACGTTTGTTTTCTTTACAATGATTTGCTTAAATTGTGAAGATGAACCCAGCATCGATTTTATTTTCCATTTTGCAGTGTTTAAATCATGAAGAATTAAATTTAAATCAAACTTTCCCGAATTAAAACCTATGATATTCACTTTATTGAATTCCTCATCTAGAAGTTCTTTAAATGCTTCCTTCTGTTTTTCATTTAATGTATGAGACAAAGTCCCCACCGTTTGCGGCTTCAATAATTCTTCATATTGTTCAATATTTGATTCAACAACTAATGAACAGGTTGAAAATAAAAACTCAATCCAATCAGAAATAAAAGAATCACTCGAAGTTAAGCAAAAATTCCTCGTGTATGTTTTATCATTTAATTTAACCGTTGATGATACCATGAATGGTTTTAAGTAAGCATTCAAAGTTGCACACTCAGAAAGTTGTAATTCTTCTTTAGTCTCTAATGTTTCAAAGTCAAAAGTAATATAATATCTTGTCGGTTTATAATATTCCTGCAAATTGTGAGCTAATAACCACTGATATATCTTATGTTTCGTAATATGTGGTGCATATGGTTGCTGTATCTTTTGCAATTGAACGTCTTGAATTAATCTTCCATTATTTTCTTTACATTTCTCACAATGCTTTAAAAATCTTCTTTGGTTTTTCCTTTTTGGATCATCGCGGATAGAATAAACTTCTTCTTTACAATATGGACAAACTTTATAGCCGGTGAGTGCTTCTACGTCTGTTATTCTGTCAGCGTGAAGTTTTCCACATGGACTCTGTGTTAATAAAATATTTACTGTTTCAAATTCTGGATCTATCATTATTGATTCCACTAATGGAAAGTCTACCTTATTTATGTCCACGTCTTCTGGTTGAGGATCACAATAATAGAAATCAATATTAACATTTAACATTCTCGCTAATCTCTCACTTTCTGATGAAATGTCAAACCCGTCATATACATCTATTGCTTCATTTAAATAGCTTCTACGAGTTTTAGGATTAGCACCATCAGGAATGTTATAGAAGCGTTTAAATAACCTTCTACCTTCTGCTCTAATTTGATTATCATTCATTTTAGCTGTTCCGTTTTTGTTCATTTATGTAAGAATAAAAATTAAATAAAAATAAAGTTTATTTATTAAAGTCCATAAAATGAATTAAGAATACATAAATTTTTATCATCTGCGACGTGACGAATACATTTTAATTTACTCAAGAATGTGTACCCTGATACATTAAATCTAATTCCTGTCTTATTTAATTTCACAACTTTGAAAAGGAATGTATGAATAGCTATAAAATGATGAGAAGATGTTTTATGGGTTGTTTCCATTTTTTCTGAAATAAATGAATAAATATAATGCTTATACGTTTTCATATCTTTTATGTTCTTAATAACGAATGGTATAGACCTTTCCACTTCATCTTCCTTCGGTGCTGTTCTTTCATATGAAACATTATTGGTATCTTCAATAATGAAACCACAATCACACAAAATTTTATAGGTTCCAATGGTTTCTTTTGATATTTTATCTAATAAATCAAAAACTTTATCAACACCTGTGCATTTATTTAAATAATAATTTGTGTAAATATCATGATCTTCTTTCTTAATCGTATTAGTTGCATATGTCACGTTTTTAAGAGCTTTTTTGAATTTCTCGGAATCGAAAGGTGGTGAAAGTATGATACAGGGGTATTCTTCATTATCAATAAATTGTAACTTATGTTTACGAATAAATTTAGTGCCTTCTTCTGAAAGTGTTTCGTCTATTTCACCATCTAATAAATTTTGTGTTGATTCTGAGACATAATTTTTATATCTTTCTTCATGAGATTTCTGAACTTCTGATTCTGAAGCTGGGATATTCATTAAACCCTCTACTTCATTTTCATTATATTTTTCAACTTCTCTTAATTCCTTAATTTTTTCATCTATTTCATCTCTTATTTTTTCCAGTCTTTCAATTTCATCATATTCATCATCTTTAATCCTTTCTTCATAATATTCAGGGAAAACATCAGGTTCTTTAGGTTTTTCTTCTTTAGATGCGGGATATAAGAAATTTATAACATCATCTTTATTCATTTTTCCATCATAATCAAACTCATTTAAAAACTCCGCGAATTTTTTACAATTTCTTAAATAATATTTATCAACCTCATAACCCGCCTCCTCTAATATATCCTTTATTTCCTCATTTGTGAATCCCATTTTTTTAACGTTGTTAGTTTTGACGCTCATTTCATACAAAATAAAAATAATTGATTTCATAAATTCAAATAATCATTAGTTTCTTAAAGTTCTATGTTGAACTCATCAAATTCTTCTTCATCATTACTATTACCTTTAGCGAGTTTATTTATTCTTTCGACTCTATCTTTTGATAGTCTATCATTTAATTTTTTCTGAAGTTTTTCGTTACCAAGTTCTAAAATTTTACATGGATGATATTTAAACCCGTTAAATTCTTTTTCCTCAGTTTTAATCATTAATCTACAAAGAACTTTAGTGAGGTGATTTTGTTGTTTAAACCATTTATCATTAATATTTGTTATAAATTCAATATCCGGAATTAATTCCCAAATTTTTGAATTTTCGATTAATTTACCATCAAATACAAAAGCAATAGGTTTAATATTAAACTTACCTTTATAAAATAAACTTTCTATGTAATCATCAAAATAAACGTCTACTTGTTTAACCTGGGTGAGAATTGGTGAAAGTTTATCCATTAATTGATTCACAGTCACGAATCTTGTTCCGTTCATTTCTTACAAAATAAAAAATAAAATAATAAACATAACTAAGTTTTAATTTTTCGTAAGAAGTTTATTTTAAAATTAATGTTAATTATTTTTAATGTGTTTATGTAATCATGTATGGGTTGAGTGTAAATGTCTTACAATTTTGAATATTTTTTAAATCTTGATTTATTCAAAAACGTAAGACATAAAAACCGTAAGAATCATACATTTTTTACTTCATATGTTAAAAAAAATGATACAAAATCGTTCAATATTGTATGAATTCTTACGTTTACAAAAAAAGTCACACAACCCATTATATATACTACTAAAGATTTCGGATATAATTTATGAATTTTGATTTAATTTATATATGTGAAATAACACAATAACAATGGTAGATTTGCAGACTATAAGATATTCATTCAGGAACTATTATTGTTATCCAGCATTTCATGTTTCTTCTTGTCCGAAAGATTTAAATAAGCTTTTGTGATATGTAGTGTAAATATATAAATTTACAATGATTCTTTAGTCCAAAAAATCAAATTTGTAATATAATTTCTGGTTTCAGGTGGCTTCGCTTGCCCGAAGGGAAAGCATATAACTTTCTGCAATATATATATTAGTTATAGGAAATGAGCATATTCAAATAAATTTGGATGAAATTGGTTAATATTCAATTTCAAAGATTATTACGTAAGATATATGGTAGACTTTTAGTATAAGTGAATTAATTTAGAGAATACTTTTAGAGATTAGAGAATTTTCGAAACAATTTTGACACTTCACGCCGATAATGATTGTTAGATTTCAGATTTTTATTATTTTAATTTCACTTTTGATCTAAATGTCATCTAATTGTAAAATAATTTTGAAATCATGGTTGATTGCATGTTGTAAAATTGTCACTTTTTGGTGATTCTGAAGAAAATGTTGGAACCCACAAAGCCGTACTTTGCATTGTCTAAATTTCAAGATGAATATGCAGTTCGTATCATACACTCTGTTGTCAATGAGAATATCACAGAAAATTTAGCAGATTTTTACATTCATTTATCAAATAAGCAAACAAAGATGTGGATGCTTCAATGTACAGGTTATGCAATTAAAATATGCACAGACAATTTATTTATTCGAACTTACGCGTTTTATCTTCAATTATTCGAAAAAATTGCAAAAAGATACGTTGAAACCGGAAAGTTTGATGAAGAAACACTTAGACTATCAATTCTTCACATGTCAAATATCTTTTCGAACCCTTCTTTCACTTCAGATTCCATCAGATTAAGATTACACACAACTATTAATAAATTTTATACAAATACTGATATACAATGGCCAACTAACATAAAGAAGCTTATACTTGACTTTCTTTTGTACGGAGCCAAATCTTTCAAAGATAATTTTGATATTTCATCAAAATACGGAAATCTTGCACTCGATTTACTATGTAAATATGATCCACCACAAATAGAAGATTATGACTACTTTTCTTCTGTTTTTGAAGAGTTATTTAAATACGATTTTTTCCAACTCGCTTGGATACAGAAATTCGAGCAGATCTACAAAGAAAACATTAGACTAAAATCAATAGGAAGCGAAAAACCCATCATGAAGTACTTTATCAAGCAAATTAATGAAAAATTGTCTCGAAATTTCCAAACTTTGGCCTTTTGGAAGGTTATAAACAATTTGACAATTAGTAATTCGGATAGAGTCATTTATTCCAAGCTGCCAATCCAAGATGTCTGCGAAAAATTCCTTTCTTGGTTTGATCCGAATATTGACCTTAAATTCTTGAACATGGAGAACTTTTCTTCATTCCATCCTTTGTTCAAGCTGGCAGAACAGTCAAAATACTACGAATATGAAGAATTGGATGCAAAAGTCGATAAATATATCGAATTTATTCTAAAAACGCCTCCAGGCAAAGAAAATCTTCAGTTTTGGCTGTTCCCTGTTCATGCTAACGACTACATTCACTATTGGCCCAGAATTGAAGAGTTTTTGGATGATTTCAGAAATTATTTCCAAAGAATATATGAAATGATCATGGATAACAGCAAATTCCATTCAATTATTTCGAGTTTCTTTGAAAAGGTCGACCAATCCATTCAAAAAACTATAGAAAAAATAAAATCCGAAATAATTGTGAGTACACTTTCATTAATCCATGTTATATTCAAGTCTGAATGTACCAATGATGATTCCATTAAGAATATCATCTCAGAACTCTCCAAAAAATCACAATCAGCTCAATTATATTCTTGGTTCAATATTTTATCAGAAAACCACACCAAAGAGATCCTTCCGATCGATACCAACCCATGCTCATCGATTTATTTGGTTATGATCGCGAGTTCCATCAACATTTTAGGAAAATCTTTTTATCAAGAGCAAAAAAGGAAAATAAAGAAGATTATCAAGCACTACAGTTCCCTACTTAATGAATCACAGTTTACCCATGTAGATGAAATCGCCAGAGTCATTTTTTCCTTTTATCAAATCGCAATTTGCACTCCTTTCTTTTTCGACCATCCAAACGTGTACCAGGAGATCATCCACTCTAATATAGCTCAACGACAGGATCCAACAATCACTTCTATCATAGATATGTTTAAATTGGCGGTTTTGTCGGGCCAAAGATCCGAAATTGACATAAATGAGTTGTATTCAAATTCTAATGACTTTATGTACGCGACTCCTCAATATATTATTTCGATTTCGAAAAATAACTTCGTCGTGAGGCATGGAATCGGAATAAGCATGTTCGAGGTCGAGGAGTTGGTTCCTTATGATAATTTCATAAAGGATTCGACAAAACTCGATGAAAAAATTCCAAATCAACAAATTTCTCAAATTTCAGCTTTTTCTGACCAAAAATCAACCACAAAAGAGATGGATGAAGCTGACAGACTCGAATCTTTGTTGATTGACACTCCAACAGAGTTCAAAACCTTTAATTATCAAAATGAAATTATTGATAACGAACATCACGCTCACAGGCTGCTGTCAGACCTAAATCTGATCTTGTATCGATCGAATACACTCAGAAGACTCGATGATTCAAAGCTAATTCCAGAATTAGACAAAATTAAATTAAATTTCCCGATTTACATTGTACAGCTCACAATGGATAAGGAGATGCCTCGATTTGGATTCGTTCCTAGTGATTTAAGAGGAGTATTCCTCAAAGATCTGTCTAATTCAAAAGATTATTTAAATACTGCCTCCATTTTATATAAAATCGAGCTTGACATCAACATTGTCATTCCTGAGTACATAAAAACGAGCAAAAGCGCTGATTTCGTCCAAAAAGTTCAAGAATTTCGAGAATTAAATCCTGTTCGTTCTCCAATGATTGTAGTTCTTAATGAAACAGGTCTAGAGATGAACAGTTACTCAGCGATATTCAATAATTTCAACGCAATTGTTGAAATAATCCCTAATTTCGAAAACTTTTCGTATCCGTATATTGTGAACATTACATTTCAGAATGATGTCCTTGAATGCGAAGATTTACAAGTAAACAAATTTTCAATACCGTGTCTCAGTGATGGAATTTCCTCATTGATCATGATGTTGACATCGATAATGACTACGTCGAGGAGTTGCCTTCATTGCGGCCGCGGAATTGGAAGTTTCTTCGAAAGGAGAAAGAAACTGATCTCGAGCATTTTCAAGGGAGGGCTCTGCGGAAATACACAGTTTATTGCGAATGTTGCTAAAACATTAGGCAACTTTTAATGTTTGTTTAATAAAAAAAATGTAATTTATAGTTTAATTTTTTTTAAGGGTGCACACGAGAGGATCATGTAAACTTCAGAATTTAGAAGCTTATTTTTAGGCATTATCTTGGCTACCTATTTAGGCTCGAAAAGCAAAAAATATCAAAAAATACAACTTGAGTCCATTATGACCCTTTCATGGAGGTAGTTTTTATCCGCTAGTATTTTCCCTTTGAATCTCTTTACAATTCGAAATCAAATTCAAAACTCAGTAGAAGAAAGGAAGAATCGACTTACTACGGTTGTAATACGAATAAATACATATATTTAATTATTTTTATTTACATAATAATTGTTTGAAGCTCATATTCCAACAAATTTTTAAATAAAAACATTAAAATGTTGAAAATGTTCATATATTTTAATAGGGTTTTGGCACTTTATTGAGGAATTACTACATACATAGTCGAACTGAACTTGAAATTTTGAAATTTAAATTATTTATCAAAATTAAAATTTAACTTGAAATTTATAATTATTTAGTCATATTTTGCATAATTCTAAGTAGATTTTGTAAAAAATCAAGAAAGAAAAATTTTAACGTGCTTTGTTTTTTTTTATAATAATACATATTATTATATAATTAACATATTCATAATGTTTCACCCTTTCAAAAATATAATCCTCCTCCTCTCAAATAAACGTACATACGGGTGGCCTCTTTTTTCAAAAAATTAAAATTTGAAATTTTGGGCTCAAATATTAGAGATTTTTTCAACCTTCAACGATATATGTTGTCTATATCAGACCTCCTTTCTTTTTGATACTTAACATTGTTCCTAAATCTTAGCCGTTAAGGCTGTTCTGAAAATATTTTTTTTCGAAAAAATTCGAAAAAAATTCTTAAAATTCAAAAATCCCTTAATTCCTGAGGATTTTGGAAAAAAGTTTTTACATGAACATGTGTATATTATATGAAGTATATTGATAAGGTAAAAATCAAATTTTATTGCATATTCATCGAGAAAATAAACTAACGAATCCCTCAAAATTGAGAGGGTAATCCTCCTCTCAAATAAACGTACATACGGGTGCACCCTTAATTCAAATTTCTGACAACTGGCGTGAAGTGTCATTGAAATTTAACCTTAAATATCTGAATTGAAGGGTGTGTCATAGGGGCGAAAGTGCACCCTTAAAAAAACTCCAGAATAGAGTATCAGAAATGAATTTTCCAAATATATTATATATCATTAGTAAATTATCAATCTTTTGATGACAAATGCTTTTCTTGTGATTCTAATGCTACAGTAGTATATGTTGAAGGGTCGTGTGACTTTTTTTGTAAACGTAAGAATTCATACAATATTGAACGATTTTGTATCATTTTTTTTAACATATGAAGTAAAAAATGTATGATTCTTACGGTTTTTATTCTTACGTTTTTGAATAAATCAAGATTTAAAAAATTTTCAAAATTGTAAGACATTTACACTCAGCCCATACATAATGAAATAAAAAAATGTGACAACATGACATTTTGACAACATCATGGGTTATTCGATAATTAATTATTTTTGAATAACTGAATGGAATCAATGAAGTCATAATCAAAGACCTCATAAACGAGAAAAAGAAATTAGAAACTAATGATTTTTGAACATACTTCTGAATAGCAGATTTTAAAAATTTATGAATAATTTATAAAAAGTTTTTATTCCTACAATTCCTATATTACCATTAATAAAAGAATATATTTTATAATAATTTCATTTCGAACATGTTAAAATTTATCTGCATTTTGAAAAAATTTATTTTTAATTCGTAAGAAAATGAGTGTCAAAACTAACGATGTTAGATATTCAGGATTCACAAATGAGGAAATAAAGGATATATTAGAGGAGGCAGGTTATGAAGTTAATAAATATTATTTAAGAAATTGTCAAAAATTCGCGGAGTTTTTAAATGAATTTGATTATGATGGAAAAATGAATAAAGATGATGTTATAAATTTCTTATATCCCACATCTAAAGAAAAAGAAAAACCTAAAGAACCTGATGTTTTCCCTGAATATTATGAAGAACGAATTAAAGATGATGAATATGATGAAATTGAAATTGAAAGACTGAAAAAAATAAGAGATGAAATAAATGAAAAAATTAAGGAATTAAGAGAAGTTGAAAAATATAATGAGAATGAAGTAGAGGGTTTAATGAATATCCCAGCTTCAGAATCAGAAGTTCAAAAATCACATGAGGAAAGATATAAAAATTACTTTTTGGAATCAACTAAAAATTTATTAGATGGTGATATTGACGAAACACTTTCAGAAGAAGGCACAAAATTTATTCATAAACATAAGCTTCAGTTTATTGACGATGGAGATTATCCATGTATATTACTTTCACCTCCTCTTGATTCTGAAAAATTCAAAAAAGCACTGAAAAATGTAACATATGCAACAAATACGATTAAGAAAGAAGACCATGATATTTACACAAATTATTATTTAAATAAATGTACAGGTGTTGATAAAGTTTTTGATTTATTAGATAAAATATCAAAAGAAACAATTGGTACATATAAAATTTTATGTGATTGTGGTTTCATTGTTGAAGATACCGTTGATGTTTCATATGAAAGAACAGCTCCGAAGGAGGACGAAGTGGAAAGATCTATTCCATTCGTTATTAAGAACATAAAAGATATGAAAACCTATAAACATTATATTTATTCATTCATTTCAGAAAAAATGGAAGCAACACATAAATCATCTCGTCATCATTTCATAGCTATTCACACATTCCTTTTCAAAGTTGTGAAATTAAATAAGACAGGAATTAGATTTAATGTATCAGGGTACACATTCTTGAGTAAATTAAAATGTATTCGTCACGTCGCAGATGATAAAAATTTGTGTGTTCTTAATTCATTTTATGGACTTTAGCCCTGGACTCTCTGAGTCTCGGACTTTAAAAAATAAACTTTATTTTTATATTCTAATTTTTTATTCTTACATAAATGAACAAAAACGGAACAGCTAAAATGAATGATAATCAAATAAGAGCCGAAGGTAGAAGGTTATTTAAACGCTTCTATAACATTCCTGATGGTGTTAATCCTAAAACTCGTAGAAGTTATTTAAATGAAGCCATAGATGCATATGAAGGATTTGACATTTCATCAGAAAGTGAGAGATTAACAAGAATGTTAAACGTTAATATTGATTTCTATTATTGTGACCCTCAACCAGAAGACGTAGACATTAACAAGGTAGACTTTCCATTAGTGGAAACAATAATGATAGATCCAGAATTTGAAACAGTAAATATTTTATTAACACAGAGTCCATGTGGAAAACTTCACGCTGACAGAATAACAGACGTTGAAGCACTCACAGGATATAAAGTTTGCCCCTTTTGCAAAGAAGAAGTATATTCTATCCGTGATGATCCAGAAAGGAAAAACCAAAGAAGATTTTTAAAACATTGTGAGAAATGTAAAGAAAATAATGGAAGATTAATTCAAGACGTACAATTGCAAAACACACAACAACCATATGCACCACATATCACGAAACAGAAGATATATCAATGGCTATTAGCTCATAATTTGCAGGAATATTATCAACCGACAAGATATTATATTACTTTTGACTTCGAAACATTAGAGACTAAAGAAGAACTTCAACTTTCTGAATGTGCAACTTTGAACGCTTACTTAAAACCATTTATGGTATCATCAACGGTTAAATTAAACGATAAAACATTTACGAGGAATTTTTGCTTAACATCAAGTGATTCGTTCATCTCTGATTGGATTGAATTTTTATTTTCAACCTGTTCATTAGTTGCTAAATCAAATATTGAACAATATGAAGAATTATTGAAGTCCCATACATTAAATGAGAAACAAAAGGGAGCAATGAAAGAGCTTTTAGATGAAGAATTTAATAAAGTGAATATCATTGGTTTTAATTCGGGAAAGTTTGATTTAAATTTAATTCTTCGTGATTTAAACACTGCAAAATGGAAAATAAAATCAATGCTGGGTTCATCTTCACAATTTAAAAAAAAAAAAAAAAAAAAAGGTAATGGGGCTTCCAGGGGCTGCGCCCCTTCTAGCCCTGAAGATGTTTAGTATAATGAAGTTTAGAGGACATACATGATTATGAGTTTAGATATGACAAGATAGAATATGAGAGAGGTCCTATAAACCGGAGAAAGTGTCATATAAACATCTGTCATTTTACTCAGAATTTTATACAGAATTCAATAAAAATATATTTTAGGTGAAGAGGTGAGATCTCACCTGTTTTCTCACCTCTTTTTTCACCCCATATGTCCTTACTGAAAAAGTGTCATATAAACATCTGTCAAAAGCCGCTTTTTACCTTCACTTAAAATGCCACGTAAGCTACGTAAGAATATACGTAAGAGGAAGAGAGCATTGAAACATCCAATAGTAAAACTGACACCACAACAACAGTTGCAACAACAAATGCTGAATGACCCCACTATGTTGCAACAAATGTCAAGCAACCCTATGCTTTTAAACCGAGTTCTTGGTGCACAGAGTGGAGGTTTAAGAGCGGCACTTTTAGCGAAAATGGCAGGCTATGGTGGAGCCGCAGACGGAACAGCCTATAACCCTCAAAGTCAAATGAATTTGAGTTCACTCAAAAATCAAATATCAGATGTCAAAAAGTCAAACATAGACATACAGAAGCAAATAAGTGAAAACGAAAAGAAACTAGAATATGACAGACACACAAAGAAACTCAATGAGTTAAACGTAGAGAAAAAGAAGAAAGAAGAACAACTGAAAGAACTAAGTACAGAGGAATATGCGAAAAAAGTGTCAGAAAAAGCAGCAGAAGTAGCAAAAATGGAACAAGATGTTGTAAATTTGAAAAACCATACTACTCAATATAAAGTACTGAAAGATGAAGAGATAAAACAAAAAGCCATGAAGACATATATGGATAGCGATGAGTATAAAAAAGAAGTTGAAGCAAATGTAAAGGCAGAAAAACTTTTACAGTTGCAAAACCAAACCGTACAGTATGAAAACTTAGCACAAGAAAGTAAAAATGACGACGCGGCTATGCAAAAGGCAATGAAAAGCGCAGAATATATAAAAGCTAACAATGACTGGTTAGATGCCCAAGCCAACGCCAAAGCAGCCCAACTTATAGGGTCAATAAGGACAAAAATACAAGCGGATGAAGACAGTTCAAATGAAGCTTTAACAAATGCTGACTTTAAGAACGCCTTCGAAGCTCTTCATAGTAAGGTGAAACAAGTGAACGACTTCTCATCTGGAAAGAAACTGAAGTCTGAAGGTTTCGACAAAGAGTTAAAAGAAGTAGCACAAAATATGACGAAAATAACAGATGCAGCAACGAGACAGGCAGTTCAAAGTGCCTATGACGCCGTTAGAGCAACTGTTGTGAAAAGTCAAGAAAAAGAGTTACAACAGACCAAAACAGACCTAGTAAATGCTTTCTTAAAAACGAAAAGTCAGGTAGGACATTACGCTGCAGATGGAACATATGTGCCAGCTGGTGGAACATATATACCAGCTGGTGGAACTTATATACTAGCTGGTGGAACTTATATACCACCAAACCCTCCAAGAGAAGCACCTGCACCAGGACTACCTAAAACATTTACATCGTCACATGGACACAGACACAGGCATGCACCAAAACCAACACAACAACAACCACAACCAGCACAACAACAACAACAACCAACACAACAACAACCAGCACAGCAACCACCTCCACAACCAGCACAACAACAACCAGCACAGCAACCACAAACAGAGCAAGGAAACCAAGAATTCTTAAAAATGCTTAAAGAAGACTATGGTTACCCAGATACTCTTGACTTTAGTGACAGATATAAAGAAGCTATTAGAAAGTTCAAGGAAGGAAATACTGACCCGAACCTATTTAGCTTTATGGCTCAGCACCAAATGGGATATAATTTCAAACCTGGAAAATACAAGCTCGCTAAGGGATATGATTTAATAGCATATCATCCAAATGACATGACTGAATTTACTCCGAGATATTTGGTGTCAGAGCTAAATGACAATTCAACTCTCTTCATGAAACGCGTAAAAAATAGAGACGGAACGAAAGAAGAAAGGTTTATGAGTCCGGATGACTTAGATAGGGAACTTGTTAAAAACGGTCTCGGAATATATGAAATGCCAGCAGATGAGGTACATGAAACTCCACAGGAAGAAGTTCAGATACAACCAGACATGGAAGAAATAGTTCAGCAACAACAGCTAGAAGAGCCTGAAGGAAACGAACAAGTTCCTCCTTTGGAAACTAACTTCACAGAACTAGATGAAGATTTGGAACAGCCGAAAAATCTTGACCCTCAACAAGTGTATGCGGAGAATATGGAATCTTTCCAAGAGTCTAAAAAAAATTCGGCTGACATAGTAGAAGAATATCGAAAAATGTTTGCCGACATACAAAAGACTCCAACATCAGATGAAAATATTCAGCATAGAATGGAAGTACTGAAAGAAAATGTACGCAAATACAACAACCCTTTTTACTTACGACCATATAACGTTCAATCTTTGGCTGAACTCGGTGAAAATAAAAGGTTAAATTTCAACAAAACATATAGAAATGAAACATTGTTTAAAGTTCATTCAGAACCTAACCAATATGGAAACAAACCTACTTTTGTTTCTGCAGACTATGGAACTACAATGAGATGGGGTCATAAAGCTAATCCGGATAGGTGGTTCATAAACTTACAACCTCAATTCCAAGAAGTTGTAGACGCAATGGAAGTGAATGGTGAACCAGATATAACGGGTATTTTCAGCGCGGCTTTAATGCCATTGAAAGATATGAAAGATGCAGATATTTTGGACCAGTATAAATGAACATGGCTGAGGGAAATATAACACCTGACGTTCTAGAACATTTATCTCAAAGAACTACACAGAACCATAGAGATGGTATATTTGGTGAAGAGTTTAGAAAGAGAGTTAGGGAGAGAGAAGGAAGAGAACCTATTGTACATGACCTTGCAAACGAAAGTTTGCAAAATGTCATAAAAACTTACTTTGCAGACAATAACTGAGAAGGGATGAATATTTAAGAAAACTCAAATGGACAGTACCAAATGAAATTTAGTATTGAAAAACATGTTCCATGACAAAATAAAACCAACTACAGAAATAAATGACGCAAGACTGAAACGTTGGGTAAAAGCTTTCCCTTCACAAAAGATATTATTGTTACATGGAAAGAAAACCAGAATGCTACAAAAACATATATTGGAAACGAAGCTTATTCCATATGGACAAGCTCTGTTTTGAAGAGCTTGAACCGGAAACTCAGGAAAGAGTCATGCAAACAATAAGCGAAGACTCAAATACAAACTATGACAAAATCTTTCTAGGATATAGGTTACCTGAGATGGGCGACCAGAGCCCAAAGGCAAAAAGACAT